AGAATCTGAAGAAGAGAATACGTACCAACAGTCGTACCAGCAGAATGCATACTATAACTCAATCCACTAGCCTTCATCAATCGCTGGACCGCGGCTACTTCTTTCGATACCGAAGCTGTGGGTGTACCGATCTGTGAGCTGTTAGTTTGATAGCTGGACAAGAGAGAGAGGGAGAGGGAATAAGAAGAAGAGGAATTGAATTGAATTGAATTGAAAGGGGAAATACGGGAATCAAACAAAAATCCGCAACGGCTCTGGGGGGCGTAGGAAGATTGGCATAATCGATTGCGCCGCTTTCGGAAGACGAAGAGGCCATTGTTGTTTTTGGATTTTGTGTTGATGGAAGGGGAATCTGGGTTTGGGATGTGGGATTTGGGAGATTGGGGATATTTGGAGTTTTCGGAATGGATGTGAGATTTCTTGTTGGTGGTGATATGGGATGGAACGGAGTGCTGATGAGATGTTGGGAATTCGAAGTCGAAGTGAGAGATGAGCAATTGGCACGTGATGCGGGGTATGTTATTTATTTAATTAGGTTATTTTTTAAAGCGACGACCCCGCTATTCCTTCAAGCTTGATTCTTGCAGCATCAACAGATGCAGATGGTTGGGTTTTTGTTTGGCTTTCTTCTTTTATGTAACAGATTTATATTTATAAATTGGAACTTGTATTGCAGACTTTTCACACGAAGATAGATTTATTAGAGCGTAGGTTGGAATGTTTCCTCACAGGTTGTAGAGATTTTGAAGGGTCTTTTTGTCTAAGACATAATGGCTGATCAATTGCTCTGGGGAAGTGATATTCAGAACAGTAGTGTTTTACAGATATTATTTCATTACATCATCTTTGCAGCAAATTTTTGTTCATTTTCTTCTTCTTATTATGTATCTCTGCGTTCTTTTTCACCTCACTCTCCCTTGCTCGGCTCTCTCTCAACTTCTCCCTCTCCTTTTACCCCCCTTCTCACCCCTTCCTCTGTCTATTCCATGACCTCCATCCTCCCTATCAAAGTTCAAGCTAATCCTAAACCCTGAAGACTGTAGAAATATCCAGAAAGACCTAGTTAGCACTCAAACACATGCAAATGTATATGACTATTGCGAAAACCCAATGAAGTATATCAATTGTGGACGAGAAACACGAGAAAGCACTGTGTAGGATCTCAGCGAGAATTGTGTACTGCGCTACACTCACAGACAGCCAGATAGAAAGTGGGAGAAATTTAAGGCTTCAATAAACACGAGAACTATGTAGTATGTATCTGTGTAGCTGTGTATCTCAACAGTGTTTTTACATCAAAACACAATGTTTTCAACATGACACTGGTATGTTTTTACTACTTGGATATGTAACAGAGAAGATCAGGAAGATAACGAATCGACATTGGCCCGCCCATAAGAGATATTTCGTCGTTCACATCGCACGTGATAGGGGGTAAAGTTTATTTCACTTGAAATGACAGCCGTTGGTGGACGATCCCAACCTTATATCATGGTCGTCCCTACTAAACTTGTGCCAGGGTGGGCAGCATACACGAGTTTCATCCATTTCTCCATTCGGCTTGCCAATGAATCATTTTCGAATCATCCAGATTAATGTCGCTTTCGGGTAATCAACCATCCAACAGGATCATTCGTTACTTCGTACACATTTCACATAATGCCTCCTCACCCCGCGAAAGAACCAAATTGTCGAACCTCGAATAATCTGGAGGAGAAGCGTGGAGCGGATGTTGTTTGATGAATTGTGGATTGCCTGGTCTGATCTTTGGTTTGAATCCGGTAGACTCGGAATAGAGTGGAGAAGATGGGAAATTCTCTAATCTCTTACAGATTTCGATATGGTTGAGATGTGTGGACGAGGCAGACTCGTAGAGCTTTCATTTGGAAGGTCTGATATACGACAAAAGATTATTAATATTTGATACTGGCACATTGATCTTTGTCCGTGGTGATAGTTTCCTGTCTGCTCTGCTTACCTACTATTTACTAAACTAGGTCTTTTCGGGAAAGGGTATTCCTGGTGGCTAGGGCTTGCATATGGCTGCACATGGCATAAGATCAACATCTTCAGCCTTCTTCAACTACAACTTCACCCACTTGATTACTTTGGCAGGTGGGCTGGTGGCAGGTCCAGCTCAAGGCCCAGCTGCAAGTTGCAACTCTTGAAGATCATTCTCCATTGTTGCGTGATAGAGAAAGCTTGCATTGGTCAATTTAATCAGTTGTCCTCGTCATCTTCCGCGACGCCGACTGTACCGATTACACTTTTTTGGGTCAATGCATTGATTTCTCAACGCCTCAATTAAGGATAAAAATAGAAACAGCTCTAGGAAGATTTTCGTATCTTTCCAGCCAATTTTTTTTTTGACATGCAACGATCCTCGCTCTCTCACCAACCTCAAACGTCAGTATAAACGATTTGACTTGAACAAGCATCACCCGGTGTGACATCCTATACCATCCTCAAACCGGGACTTTTCCATCGTTTCATGCAGATCTAGAAGTATTGATTGGAAGTTCTCCTTTCTAATTCTTACTCAAATACGGATGAGGTCCACTTTTCCAAGACTCGTAATGTTGTTGGCTTACGACAATCTCAAGAGAATTGATTGAAAGAGGCAACGAGGCGCAGTAGAATGAGGCGAGCCGTAACGTATTCCATAGTTTTCATATATGGGTAATCTATTTATTTTGATCAAAAGTTCTCCATACTTTTGAAGCCTCTTTCTTTCTTTTCCAAGATTTATTTTTATTTTGGGGGATTTGAATTTTCTCATATATCTGTTGTTGAGCACTTGTGGTGTTTTCTTTGTCAGATTTCTTCAGAAGCAACACGTTTTTAGCTTTACCACTTTTTCGAACGAAGGATTTTATCTCATTCTCGTGGAAATCCCTTACTCCATTAAATATGCGGTCATTTGCATTTGCCGCAGCGGCAATTCTTTCTTTGGTTAGCTCTTCGCAGGCCATGCCTCAAAATGGTGGTGGAGGATATGGAGGATATGGAGGTCAAGAATCATCATCGTCGTCGATATCTGTTGCAGTTGCAACATCAGCTAGTTCCGTATCAGTCGCTGAAGCAGCAGTATCAACAAGCACAACCGCCTGTAATAACTCGCCAGAACTCTGTAGTCGAAACTATAACAACATAACACATATGGGTGCCCACGACGTTGCATTCCTTCGAGACTCAACGACCGGGTATTCAACATCAGGGAATCAATTCTACAATGCTACTGTTGCTCTATCTGCCGGTATTAGATTGCTTCAAGCACAGGTTCATAACTCGAACGGAACTTTAGAACTATGTCACACAGCTTGTATACTCCTCGACGGTGGTAGTCTTGAGTCGTTTCTTAAGGAAATTAAAACATGGATGGATGCCAATACTAACGAAGTTGTCACTTTGATCCTTGTTAACTCCGACGACGAATCAGCCGCTACCTTCGGATCCGTCTTCTCATCTTCCGGTATCGATACTTACGGCTATACTCCTACTTCTACCACCGCACCAATCGCTACTTGGCCAACCCTTCAAACCCTCATCACTGCCAATACGAGATTGATTACTTTCATTGCAAGCATTGACTATGATTCCACATATCCATATCTCCTTCCAGAATTTACATACGTATTCGAAACCTACTTTGGGGTTCTGTCTCTAGACGCCTTCAATTGTACTCTCCAACGTCCTAGCAGCGTCGATTCTGCCTCCGCCGCTGTCTCATCTAATTATATGGGTCTCATCAATCATTTTGCCGACACAGCCCAATCATTTGGTATCACAATTCCAGATGTAAGCAACATCACTACAACCAACTCCGCCGCTACCGACACAACAGGTGCACTGGGAACTCAGGCAGAACAATGCAAGAGCGAGTGGGGCATCAAACCAACATTTATCCTGGTAGATTTCTTCAACGTAGGACCTAGTATCGACACCGCGGATATCATGAATGGAATTTATGGGGAAACTACCGGAAGGACAAACGTCAGTACGAGTGTTTTAACCGCCAGTAGTGATTCCAGTAGTGATTCCAAAAGCGGTGCTAGTTCTCTAGGTTTGGGGATGTGGAAGAGTTGGGAATGGATGTGGGCTATGATTGGAGTGGTCGCAGTTGGGAACTTGGTCTGGTTATAGACGATGTGGAGGGAATACTCTTCTCATTCTTCATCGGGGGATATCTTTTGTTTATGGAACTATGATTGAAGATTTGCTTTTACATTTACATAGCGATGGCGTTTCGGAAATTGGGCTTGGGAGGCAGAATTGCACCCAGATGATACTGGTTTCGGAAAAAGACCTTTCTAGATAGACTTCACGTCACTTCAATTGAAGATATGAGCCATTGAGTCGCACGTTTATATGCACACAATACTCTGGCAAGAATTACATTTATTTCACGAATAGTCTTGATATCCATATAAAGTCAAGTATTCAATTGATTCATCGTGACTTAAAACGTTTATTTTTCTCTCCTGAATATCAAACACCCAGCCTCTTGTCCGCATCTTCTTCGGAATTTCTGGAAAATAGGTCGTCTTAAATTGGTGGAAGCACAACCAATCATTGATCTCTAATCCGACCCACTTAAAATCGGCGGCATCAAATGTGAACCTTCACTTCACGCACCCTACACTTGACATCACAACAACTAGCTTTCCACGTTCATTGACTTCCTTCCTCAATTTCTGATGACTCGATCAAAATGCCTGCTACTATAGGTAGGTCTTGATTGAGTATCCTCCCCGGGTCTACAGATCCAGTAACAATGACCAAGATGCAATTGGACGTCTGACTTGCCGATATGCTTACGGTTAGATCTCGTTCATCAAAGCTAGGAGACACTTCCCCCATTCTCTCGATGTCACATTTCGATCTCGCATATTCTAGGAGATATGCGGATTATCATGTGTGGAAGTCAAATCCTCATTATCACTAGATAACAATTATAAGCAATCTATGAGTCATTTCATAATGTCTATAAGTAGTCGAGGTAAGATAGTGTCTATAAGTAGCTAAGGTAAGATAGAGTAAGATAGTATAGTTAAGTTACGAATTCCTTTTAAATCGCTATTCTTGTTCTCCTCCTTCTTTTCCATTGCCCATTCATAGTACACAACAATGGCCATACCCTCCATCACCCCCTCCTCCCCCTCCCCCAAATTCGCAAAAGTCGACCTCATTCCTTGGGATCCAGACTCTCCATCCCATGTCGAGAGATTATTCAATCAACGAGTAGCCTGTACCTGGAACTCGGAATATGTAGAATCATGGCGAGAAAAACAGAGACGGGGCGCTATTACTCTTCAATGGATCGTACGTATCTCTCTGTTCCGATTATTACATTAAATCTAACATGCTCTAAGGTTTTACCAATTACCACCGTCGCTCGCGATGATCTTCATAAGCTCCACACAACGCAGTTCCCCTTGGAATCAGAACCATTAATCGATTCAGCAACAACATTCAACGCACTCCCTCGTACCCCTCCCTCACCACCCCACTCCTTCCTCCCCATCGGCCACATAGCCCTCGAAGTCCAACCGTCCTCTCCCATCTCCTCCTCTCCCTCCTCCACCTACAAAATATCTGGTCTCTACATTTCCGGCGCCATGCGCAGCTTAGGTCTAGGTCGCGCAACTATGGATACAATCGAGACACTTGCCTCTTCGCCCCCGATTTCTGCGAAAAAATTATTGCTAGAAGTTATAGCGAATGAATATCCGGGGAAGGAAGAACGGAATGTGGCGCTGAAAATAAAGAAGCAGCCGGTGGAGAGACAGGATTGGTATGCTAGGAGGGGTTATAGGGTTGTGGGGATGAAGGATGGGATGTGGCCTGAAAAGGATGAGGAGGGGAGGGTGTGGACGGCTAGGTGTTTGTTTATGGAGAGGGTTGTGGGGTAGATGGGAGGGAAGTTATTATGTATAGAGAGTTTTAAGATAGGGGGTACGGACGATACAGTTGAAAGAGATGGGCATACAACAGAAGACGAGCGAAGATTGTCGCAAGATGCGACACGCGACTCGCTAAAGCTTCCTGAAATCTTCCAAAAATAGTTTTGAAAACTTACAACCAAGTATATACCAGGACCTAAACCAAAACCTGAACCTGAATCTACACCTTTCCTTCTGTTGCACATCTGAAATTCTGTCGTGGTGGAAGATTAGTAGTCAGTAGGTACTTTGGTTTTATTTTATTGCGTATCTCATAATTTCCCGCGACGGGGCATAAACCAAATTTGGTTTTTTCATTCTACCTCGTCTGTCCCCCCGGTGGTATTTCGCTGGTCCCCGATGTTCCCGTGGCGGGACTCCTCGATCACGCTATATTACATGTCTGAAATCTTCTATCGTGGAATTAGGTTGTGTTATTTCTTGACCCTTTGTTGCATATCAAAGTCTTTCGCTGTGGAGCATAGTTTGTTTTTTGGACTTTGGTTGCGCATTCCCTCTAATCCCATGATGGCATCTCAGAACCTGTTGATGTCCGGGATTCGTGTCGCGATGGAGGTCAAATGTCTACTTGTTTTCCGCCGTGGTATGTTAGATCATAACCAGATCGGATGCGATCCGTCGTGGTGGGAAGTGGATTGGGTTTGCACTTTTGTTGCATATCTGATTCCATCCATTCCATTTCATAATGGAATATTGACCTTTTGGGATTTTTGTTGCATATCTGATACTGTTCCATGGTGGGACTAGATAGTACTTCAACACAGACCTAGATCTCGAATAGACAGTTTGTTGCACATCTGAAGATTCTCCGCGACGGAATATGAGATTCTCTTTCGATCTTGAGAATTTCGTCGTATATCAATGTTGTCGTGTGGAACTGGTCCCTAGATTTAGATTTGTATAACGTGTCAGAGAACTTCCAACATCCCATGGTGGAATATCAGGTTCTGACTTGACAGGATTTTGTTGCACATCTCGTCGTTTTCCATGCTGGAATTGGAAGTCATGGATATTCACGTTAGACATTGGGAAATAAAAACAATATCTAGCTCTCGTTGTATGTCTAAACTTGGACCATGGCGGAACTCATCAAATCAAGACCAGTTCTTGAATATCGGGCGATGGGTTGCACATCTGAACCTCTCGTGCGGTGGGATATCATGTTGGACTTCTATTCCATATATCATCTTGTAATCTTACTATGATGAGACGGAACACTGCCTGGATCCGATGGATCAAGATCGGATATTGAAGTTCTAGGGTGTATCTGATAGCTTGCTATAGTGGAATATGGAATGAACATATACGCTTTTGTTGCATATCTCAATATTGCCACGGTGGAACCGGAAACTACTTGATTCTAAATGTATATATATGGGGGGGGATAACTCTATAGATTATTTTTGGGTTTTCATTGCACATCTTACTACGTCACTACATCCCATACCACTATTATGGAACTAACTAGTAGACTCCTCAGACCTAACAGATATTTGTTGCACATCTGCAATCCCCCGTGGCGGGAAATAGCGTTTATTTTAGCTCCTGATCTCCTCCCGTATCTTACATCCAGCTCATTTGTTGCACGTCTGCAATCCCCGGTGGCGGGATCTCACCTGCTCAGACCTCGTAGTGCAAAGCTATACCCAAACCCAACCCTTCAAAGAAAGTCCTGTTGCACATCTGCAATCCCCCGTGGCGGGATTCCCCCTATTTTCAGCTATTAAACATTCCTATCTCTTGTATTCACCTCTTTTGTTGCACATCTCTTCGTCGCCATGGGGGCATTGCATTTAAACCTAGCAGACCGAATGCAATCCAACCAACGCAACCAACATCTTCACATTTTGTTGCATATCTGAGACCTTGCCACGGTGTAAACACGTGTTGTAATAGCACTTTACTACATTGGGTTTTCTTGCATATCTAGTTCTCACCATCGCATTACAAACTACCAAAATTAATCTAGACCTAGGTACCCAGGTAGTGATAAGTTAGTGTCTGATTCAAACCTGTGTTTGTTTTGTTGTAGCGGTGAGGTATTCTCGTGGCGGAGCGTACGTACATAACCGATCGATCATTAGCATATTTTTTGTTGCATATCTTATTCCATGCCATGACAGTGCCCCATTTTTCTAAATATAATTTCAGTGATTTTGTTGCACATCGATAGATCTCGTGGCAATTCGGAGGCCGGGTTGCAGATTTTGTTGCATGTCTGATCTGATATTACTTCTCGCCATGGTATACCGATCGGCAAAGTTAATGTAAGATTGATTTCCTTGTCTCAGACAATTTGAATATTGTGATTGGGCTTGCAAACAACTTCAAAGCGTCTCTTTCACATATAGAAATTGTTTAATGAATTCGAATAGTCTCGGGGTATCTTTATCATTAATCGTTTGAAGCATAGAAATACATCCTAATTTCCAAACTCCTCGCTAACCCATCCATCCAAAACCTCGAACCAAATCCGATCGTGAGAATATGCTATGGAACATACTCTCTATCCTAAAGTAACCCACAAACCTAAACCTGATAATGCGAAGCTTCAAGCTAGGTCATAGAACGCCCTTCCAAATAATGTGATGCACCAAAAAAAATAAACACTTTTCCATCTTTCTTTTCTTTTCTTTTCCTTTCCTTTCCTTCCCATTTGCATAACTCCAGGTCGTTGCTCGTAAAATTCATACAATCGTAACTTTCCCTTTTTTTAACTTTGTGCTCCTTCCCATGGTCCACCTACTCATCTCCCACGATCTTCTTTCCGCATCGCGATGAATAATTCACTTGCTGCAAGATCAACAAAAACTTGTCAAACTCTCCGGATCCACTTGATCCAATTTTCCTCTTCGTCCCCCTAGAATTCGTAGATCACCACTGTTCATCCAGGGAGTGATGCCGTTGCCAGGTGTGCCCCGGCCAACTGTGTGATGTTTTTGAGGGGTGTTTGGGAAGATTAGGGTGGAGAGAATTTTGTAGGAGGGAGGGTGGGCGCTGGAAAGCGTGTTAATGCTGATCTTGATGGGAGAGAGAGAGAAACGATTTGTATGACTTACCTTGAAGATGAGGTTGACGAGGATGGTTTTGAAGGTCCTACTTTATATGCTGACGAGGAAGATGATGACGGTGTAGATGAATATGAGGATGAGATTGATGATTTCGCCATGGTGTATTTAATGATTTTGATGAAGCCTTGTTTTCTTTATTTACTTGAGTATTTTAATCCCACGAGAATAATTGAACAGATGCGAAAGAGACGCTTCTAGATGAAAAGTACTTGATAACAAGCAACGTTGGATTAATTAGGCGACGAATTGATTCGAGATATAAGAATTGATAAGTATGCTGAGATCTGCTCCGAGTATGATATCACAATACAGTATCAAGGACTTTTAGGAGATATCAGAGTGTGTGGTATATATGTATGTCATAATGCAGGAGTGCCATGTAACTTTATAGGTATTCCATTGGTTGCACAACCGGAACTAACCGTGCCTCTTTAGGTGGCAAATCTTGCCCTGAAAGGTAGAATTGGGCATAATGTCCTTGCATCTTAGTTACCTTTCTGTTCTTCTCTCGGGCTTAACCACCACTTGGACTTGGATGATGTGAGAGTAGAATTCAGGGGCTAACGCCAACACTCCCAACAGAACATGCGAGGAGGACAATTCAGCTGCGCGTTGTGAAATGTTCTTGACACGTGTATCGGTGTAATGATATAACGAGTGTGCTATCATTGGCATGACAATTCTATTCCGGAGGTATGATTTAGTAAAGAGTACCTGTGATACCCAGTGTGACGAGAGAATGATTCTTAGCAAGAGAATAGCGAGCGAAAAGCGAGCGAATGCAGGCCTTGTTACGTAATGTGCTGATGAAACGATGTGGATGTGACCAACACTCCCCATTGCTGTTTAGCAATTGAAACACTCGTTGATCATGGGAATGCGTATACCAAACCTTTGATTTTGATGGTTGGCTATGGTATTGGGTCGTCACACATAAGGCGTCCTCGTCCTTCCTGTAGGTCCACCAGGTCCTTGCTGTACCTTTAGCTGCCCCACCCTTAATCACCCTTTGTGCATACACCAACACAACACATGGGATATTATCGTATCATGGTGTATTCTAGAAAGATCCTCGAACCCCCAGGCACAACCAGCCAGTCATCGAATGCATTGCCAATACCGAAAGATACCGACCATGATACCATCAATCGATTCTTCCGCGCCCGATTTGTTTCCCCCAGTACATTGATGGGCATGTGTTCGGATCTTGTTGGGCAAGCACGTAATTGGTACCACATCTTCAGTCATGCTCTCCGCATTTCCTCTTGTAGTCGCATCGTCTCATGCTATCGATACGGAGTACACATGAAGCGACCTAGTAAAAGCATTCTAGCATTCGAGGTCGCGAAAACACAACATTATTCTTCAACATGTGATGAGAACGTGGCATGGATTAATTCATTTTCCCATTACCATCCGGTGCGTAACTCCATAGCCTCAATATACGGAACATGTATGCGGGACAACGGAAGGAAAAATCACGTTCCAGAAGCCGTGGTTCCGTCGTGATACATTATCTGTACCCCACGCGGGGAATATGGGTCCGTTAGAGCGTTGTATGTCAAGTCGTATTTATCAGCATCTCGTGTGCAGGTTGATTCCATTACAGTCATGATTTTCGTGATCGGACGACATGGACACGGAAGAAGATATAACGTGGAAGATCGGGACGCGTTCCTAGGTCTTTTTGGACGATAGTTTTGGGCTCCGTAGTTTTTGTAAAATGGGGTTGATCGTAGTTGCGCATGTGATGATGGTACAGAGAAAACGAAGGGAAAAGACGTATGTTTTAAGATCATACGATGTGTTCTTCTCATGTCTCTGCTGCATTGTATTCGTGCTTGGAGCGAGTACCAATTGGTGGGCTCGAATATTTGGATTAATGTCATTGAAACTATTACTCACATCAATCCAAATATCACTTTGAGAGGGCTATTGATTGCTTGTTTCGGTATTGTCATTGCAGCCTCCGAGTTAAGTTCAAGATGCAATAAAATAACTTCCACATTTTCAGCCTCATTCCCATCTCCTTTCATCTCCAATCCTCATAAATCACACAAAATATTCCTCGAGGATATATGAGTCCTACTTTATCTTTTCCAATCAAATCCAATGTATATTCATTGGTCCATACCCATATCTATATTCCAATTCGTCTCATTCATCCCATTCATCATGAATTCGTCTCAACATTACCACAATGAAATCCTGATGTGTGAACCACAGCCCAAAACCATCGCTCCCAATTTAAACATCCCTTTCCCATTTCCCAACCGTTTCACAACTCCATACATATAATACAATCTTATGATACAATCCCTCTCCTTTCCTACCATTCCATAACTCCATATATATCAAACCCATTCTATGAAATAGTCCCTCTACATTCCCCTTTCGCATAATTATAATTGAACGCCTGTAAAAGTCCCACCAAATGCAACACCATGGCCAACACAACCAGCAGATGAAATATCTGATGTGAATTGCCCAATAGATCAAAACTACCTGGAATCCACGATTCTGGCCATCGTTTCTATTTTCCTATTAGTCTTCTCAACTTGCCCCTCCAAAAACAGCGAACAGGAAGGCGAGAACGTACAGCAAAACAAACAACACCGACTAAAAGCAGTAATGCTTCTGCGAAGTAATACGGCATACCCGATTGCTCCATCGCCTTGTCCCATCCAGACTGCGCTATTGTATGAATGAAAGGAATAAGAACTGACACAGCTGTTGCACAGAAAGCTACTACACGAAAAGAACGCCATCGATGACCTTGAAAAGCTGGTAGGAGGAGAAAAACTAATGCCGTGCTTGACATTGCTAGAATCTATCCATTTCATAAGTAAAGAGAATGAAAAAGGAGAGACAGCTTACCATTCCACAATAAGCATATTGTAAAGTTTGTTGACAAAAGAAAGACATATATACAGCTGAAATGAAGCATCCAATGATGAGAAAGACAATCCCCACATAATCGAGTTTTAGCCACAGGTCGCGGCCTTTTTGAGAATGTGAAATAAGGGAGTGGAAAATTGCCGAGATGCCTAGACATATCGTTGCGCAGAGAATGAAAAATGAGAAGATAATACGATCTTTGATCGTAGCATTAGGGTAGCGCGTATCGAGATAATACATAATAATGCCTTCGAGAATAATGAATAAGATACAAGGAATGAAATGAGACCATATATTGAAAGTTTCATTATGGATTTGGAAACAGGAATGTAAACAGGTGGAAGCAGAATGAGATATTTGTCGATATCCAGTGTGGATATGGGGGTTATCCTGGCTCCATTCTGGAAGTTTGTCAAATGTTATAAGATCTTGCTGTCCTTGTATTGTTGATGAAGGGGCAGATGATGGATATTTGAATTTCTGATGTACTGGACTTGGTGGGGGCGTAGGGTCCAACAAAAATGTTCGTTGTAGAACGGGATAGGGTATGGCAACGCCAATTCCGGATATAGGAGTGAAAGCATCATCGATGAATGTTGGAGAATCCGTCCTACCATGACCGACGGTAGAGTATGAAAGATGTGAAAATTTGGACTCAGTATAGACCATGATATCACTCTTAGAAAATGCTCAAACCTAAAATTAAAAGGGTAAAGGAATATAAAAACTTTGAAACTCCATACAACCAAGGCATGGATAAGGAGAACATTGGCTGAATCTAAGGATGTAACGAAAAAAAAATTATCAAATATATTCCAAAAATTGGCCGAGTCTTCCTAGATATCACCCACCAACTCGAGATAAACCCTCCATGAAGATCGGCTAAGCGCTTCACTGCGGTTTGGCGCACACTTTTAGGCTTTATAGCCAATAATAGAGTAAATAGAGTGGGATATCCCACCGAAAATCATAACAATTATAGGCGCAGCAGTGTCTGCACGTCAGACTTGGCGTATATCTCTAAGATCGAGTTGAAGAACCATCATAAACGACAGGCTAAATAATTCGTGCAGAATTCTGTAGAGGAACGAACCGTAAGGCTTACTACCTTACCAATGATAATTGTGAAATTTATATGGCTTGATTACCAAATCAAGAAAGAACTACTTTGAGGCTATGATACAGTAATGTATGATGGTTACATCTTCAAATCAATAGTTTGGAGGAGGAAATAGATTCGGTACATTTGGTGGGGGTTCCTTTTATTGATGGATCGGTGATATCAAGGCCAAGGGCCAACAAATGACCATGAATGCGACCGCGATAAGAAGAAGGCTTTGATTTCGCATAGATCTGATGTGTATATAGTAAAGAAGTGGAAGTTTTGATAATATAGAAACAATTAGATAGATATCTGGATTGGTATCGTGCCTACCGGAAGTGCTCGTAAATAAATCCAACGAGATAAATGGGTAGCCTATTTGCTTGCATGATCTGCAAGACGGGAAGGAAGGCATTCGCGGAAGGATTCAATTCTCGATCCTTGGGTTTTCGAGATGGTTGAAAACCCCTTGGATTGCGTTACGAGAATGGTGACGGTTGGAAATGGCTTTTTCGTGGTATAAAATGGAGTGAGTAAGAAACGATGATGAAGGGGGAAATTGTGGCCGACTGGACTGAGTTGAGATTCTGCCGGATTAATATATGTCTAGGTCCGATTATCTCTAATTTTAGCTCCACCAGCCAGTACTTCAGCCATCCGATTCTAGCTAGGTAGCACTGCCACAACATACTACCTAGATAGGTAACCGGTTATGCAAATCTCAAAATATTGTGCTTTCTTCACCATATATTGGTTCTGTTTGATTCTTACAAACGGTATTTGGCTATGTGATCTCCATAACCGTCGATGTTATACATCTACATCATAGGTATTGTTAAACACAACCTCTCTTATACAATTAAAGATGATGTATATCGTGAGAGCCTTGTCGGTACAACAACATTAAGTCTTTTTCAGAGGCTTGTTTATCAAAGCAATATCCTTTCATCTCTCTACACCAAGGCATTCATCGTCAACCGTTATACACTCGAACAACGGACACGAATATTCAATTTTCAGCGCGCCAATTAAGGTCATTGCTAATCTTAACCAAAAGCCCGATCATTCGAGCAAATCAACTTCGTTTACCACGCGAGAGCTTCCACCATAAGATGTGAATCTGTCAATGGGTTCAGGATCTTCTCTATTTGGGACGTCCGAGTGGGCTCTGATATATCGAGTACTGTGTATAGCCGTGATATCGACTTGAGATTCAGCCAAGTGCTTGCCCAGACCGGTAACTATGTATTCTGGACGACGATGCAGAAATTCTCAAGAACTTTACCTGAAAAGTCTATGCAAACTCTTTCAGCAGGGCAACGAGGAGTTTTTCAATCGCGAATATATGATTTTGACACGATCACAGCTATCTGATGCTGCACGGCCACGATCTGTTTGGTTGCCTTGTCTTCCAAGGTTTTACGTGAACACGAGTTATTACTCATTATTACTTATACGCTAGACGGCCCGGACCACCAGTATCATCGTGAAAGTGGAACAGGAACAGGAACAGGAACCAGTGGGAACACGACACAGCAAGATTTTTGTTGTGGAATCTTTGTGTTGTACGGAAGCTCCCTGCAAATCGAGGCACAGTTGACAATTCCTGTGAAGCATCCCACATTGCAATGATAATTAGGGTTTTCGAAAAGATCAAGGTGAGGCAATTTATGATTGTTAACTCTATTCACAAAACGAGAGTATACAATTGTCTCATATCAAGTTGGACAATCAATACTTACTTATCTTTTATGAATTTCAGATAACATTCAACCTTCAATGGCTCAATACCGTTGTCATCTTTAAGAACCGAATGGCAATACGTTTATTAACCAATCTTAACTCCTCTATACAGGTATCTATCTATCAATGAGATGGTGCTCCCCTCGTAACTGCAGTACTTGCTCGTAATTCTACCTACCACTGATCATGATCGGATATCATTGAAGGATTCGGGGCCATTGATGATACCCCACGTAAATCTACGGCTGAGCGATATAGCGGAGATCCCAGACATTTATCCACTAATCTGCCTCGCGAGACCAGCTTGGACCAATCAAATATCGTAAAAACCACCTAGGGCTACTAGTTGCATACAAAGAGCCGCCACATTCACGTACGTACCGATAATGAAAACGTTCATCCTTTGCCTAGACAACACGGTGAGTCAAAGTATTCAATGCGGGCGGGGTGGACAAGAAACTGGACAGGCAATGTATTGCTATCTTCAACGAATGGGAGAAGGCTGGTGTGGTGCTCATCTGCGGGCTGACTGCTGCGGCGAGTGCTGCCTATGTAAACACCACTTGTACTCCACAAATCTCATCAAAACTTCACCAGATCTGCTATCCCCTCATCTGCTTGAACCGTCCAGCTTTTAATATTTATAGACTCCTCAGTTCAATCCATCCCATTCTTCATATCCTTTCTCATACTTCCTCATCCTCCTCGTTTTTCTTCTTTCTTCATAATACCTAATCACATACTTCTCACTTCTCCACAATATCCTCAATCATGCATTCCAACGAGATACCAAGTAAAGATGGCGAGAAATATGTAGTCGTCAAGGTCGAGAAGGATGCTACCACTTCCACCCAAGCATCAAGCGATGCAGGAAAGGACGAAGATATCAAATGCCCAGAGATCTTGTACAAAGTCCAGTATAAGGATGTAGGCGGTGAAATCAAAGGAACAAAGGAGTTGGCAGCACCATATAAGTTGAAGAAAACCACGTATGTTAATCCATTGTTGGCTCCCCCATCAGACACTAACATTTTCAAGATATCGTGATTCAGAAATACCTATTCTAGAAGTCTTATACAGTGTTACTATTTGGTTCCCTACCATCTATGGCAAGAAAAAGAATAAGAAGGACAAGGATGATGAAAATGTGATATCATCAGAGATGAAAGACGAAAATGACTTCGACGAACGATCTATGGAAGAGAAAGAACTCATTATTCATTCTCCACACATCATGAAAGCCTTAAGATCCATTGTCGAATACTATCCCGGACAATCTTTACTCGGTGACACTATTTCAATCAAGGAACCTTACGGGATTCTTGTCCATTACCGAAAGGAACTTCAAGAATACAAAGAGAATTGTGACGATGCGGAAGCCAGTCACCATATCAGCGTTCTTCAGAAGTATCTTGAGGATAACTTTGAAGAGAAGTTAAAGTTGGAGGATGACCGACATGCTAGAGCTAATCCAGTAGTAACGTTTGAGATGTTATGGATGCTGTTCAAGCCAGGAATGGATGTCTACGCTCAATTCGACGAGCAACGCGCTGGTTTCGTTCTTCAAGGATGTGAAAACTCCACAGAGAACACCAGACCAGGACAGCCATCACCTCTCAAAGTTAAGATGTGGTATCTAGATTTCGATGGCCGATTCGTTGGACGTCGATCTCATGAGGTCACCATCGCGCCGTTTGAAGGCGAGCGCGAAGTCACATCCTTAAAGGTTATTCCTGCCCATTATATCGATAGCAACTCTGCCCTATCTCCACGAAAACAACTCGAAGATCGTGGAGAGAAATTCTACAGTATGTTGATGGGTAAACAAATGGACTACAGAGGTTTCAGTATGCCCGTTGAGCAAAAGCCAAAACGTTTCCATGAGGGTCGTGTTGTGGTTGATCAAAGTGCCTTCTACACATACGCCGATTGGCAAGAAACACAGAAACACCCAGCTCCAGTCCTCGGTATCGATGATGACGATTCTGGTATTCTTGCAGATTTGCACTATAACTGCAATTGTACAGATTGTAATTCTAAACGACTAGCTGCATCAGCCAATACAAGATGGGGCAAATACGAAAATATCGAACCTCGCGAAACACCTTCGCTTGCCGAAACCGATGCAAATGGAATTGTTTCACGACACAAGTACTTCCTCTGTCCTCGTCGTATCATGGGTTTCGATCTCAAGTCTAAGAAATGGCAAGCTCTCGACGTCGATTGTTGTCAACCTCCTAAATTCTACACTTCGGCTATCGAAAATCTAGTTCTACCAAACGAAAAGCAGGAAATGATCAAAGCCCTCGTTCACAAATACACTTCCTCCAAGAAAGCTGGCAGAAGCGAAACAACCTGGTCAGCTGATCCTATCCCCAACAAAGGAGAAGGGCAAATCTTCTTATTGCACGGTCCTCCCGGTGCTGGTAAGACCTACACCGCAGAATGTGTAGCCGAATTCACATCAAGACCTCTCCTCTCACTCACCTGTGGTGACATCGGAACTGATGAATTCCGCGTCGAAGAATCCCTCAGCAAATGGTTCAAACTAGCCGAAATCTGGGGCGCCGTCATGTTAATCGACGAAGCCGATGTGTATCTCGAGCGTCGTGAAGTTTCCGAACTCACACGTAACGGACTCGTATCTGTCTTTTTACGAGCGATGGAATACTACAGAGGTATTCTCTTCCTCACTACAAATCGCGTGGGACACTTTGATCCAGCTTTCTTCTCTCGTATCCACGTGTACATTGGTTACCGCCCTCTAGACTGCGAAGGCCGTAAGAGAATCTGGCTTCAATTTTTCACCAAGCTAGGATTAGAACGCGGACATGAAATCACCATCATGAGTGCTGCGAAGCGCTACATCCTCTCAGATGAGGTACTCAAAGATATTGATTGGAATGGTCGTGAGATCCGCAATGCGTTCCAAACCGCAGTTGCACTAGCCGAATATGAAGCAGAGACAAAGAAGGGGCCAAACGAGGATGGAAAAGTGGAAGTGGAATTGAGAAGGGATCATTTCGAGAAGGTGGTAGAGATGAGTGATAACTTTAAGAAATATTTGGCGACGGTCGGAAGTGATGAGGTGGCTGGACAGAGCGAGATGACGAAGGCAAAGCTTAATGGGGATAGAGGTGATGATGCGCTTTTGTAAGCAAGGGAATTTAGGAGTTGAGGGCTTTTGTTGGGTATATACTAGCGTTATAACAATCTCAAATGGATTGAGTCTCTCAAATTTGCTGAAATTTCAAATCAAGTGAAAGATTAGCCTGAAGATTTGAATGAAATTCTAATTCTTTGACTTTGCCGATATGAAAACACAAGCTCTCATTCATATAGTGTACCCATTATCAAACATATCTATCACATCTGACCCCAATGATATAATAAAAAAGCGTTTTACTCGGAACGCCTATCAACGACTCTCAAGTGGGGGCTCAACAAAACTACCGGTATATTACTACTACGTCGAAAGCGCCTTTTCCTGTAAACGCAAGAATCGCGAAGTGTTTGAATCTTCTCGCAAGCAAAAATTGACACCTAAAGCTAGTTCAGTTTTTCAAAACAACTATGGCTTTGGCAAGTATCACTGGTTCTAAGCCTATCTTCTCCAAAGGTTCCGCGGCGAATTTACTTGTGAATTTCTTATAGCGGATCGTCGCTTGCGAGACTGAGTCTGCATTCTTTACCGCCTCTTCAGTAAATGCTTGAATTGCAACGTGCAAACAGTATTGGACGACACGGCCTTCTTTGGTCGGACTTTTGGTCGGCGCCTCGATCACTTCGACGTCCATGGTTTGTGGATCGAACAGAGTACCAGGTACATAGTTACTAGCTCATACCGCTCGGGAGTAAGCACCGCGTGTGCTTTCAGAAACGAAGAGTTAAGCGCCGGGTTATATGAGTATTCGCTTACCTTGAGTTGCGATAATATTCTTGTATGTCGCGAGTAAGCTCAGACTCTTGGGGCTCTGCTCGAAATTCGGAAAGGTGGATTCGAATACCCAAGTACAGACAGCGGCTTCTACCAAAGTTTCAATGACGGAGTATGGCGGACGGTTTGATATCAAGGCTGCAGCTTGTTCTTTGCTTATACGCGTCTGGTCAGCCAACCCGAACCCAAACGAAAAGAGCGCACTCAAATCAACTGGGACTTCAGAATCAGGGATTTTGAGGGTGGCGTCATCGTCGCAACCACCAAGTATGTTCTTCATAAGACGTCTCATGATTGGAATCTTCCTTTCAATCTGCATTTCATTTCGAGATTGGGTTTGTCTTCCCGCTACTTTGGTGAATGTTCCCATTGTTCGACAGCTATCTTTCGCTGCTTTTAGATGTTCAATTTCTTGATGTACAGTAACCGCGCACAGCTGTTCGTCGGTTTCAAAAATCACACCAAAAATGATTATTTTGCCCTATTTGTATAAATAAAAATAAAATATTCAAAATCATTAAAATTGATTAGAATTTTAAATATAGTTTTATTATATAATGAAACACTCAGAATTTATAATTCTTTTGATTTTAAAATATAGGAATATTATTATTTATAAGATTGAATCTAAATCAAAAAAACAGTTCTTGATTTTCGCTCATTTTATTAATAAATTTCAATATTTTCAAATTATACCAACTTTCTATATAAATTCTATAATAAATAAAAATCTTAAAAAACAACCATCTAATTTTTATTAAATTTCAATTAAAAATGAATAGAATTATATAAAATATATTAAATAAAATCTATATTATTATTGAAAAATATATAGATAATTTATATGAATTTTGGTGTGATTTCGGTGTTCGGCAAACAGCTGTGCCCTAGTACTGTAGGTTGAAGACAAGAAGTCGAATGGAATCATTGCCTTCCTGCTGTCTTTCTTAAACCAATCTATAGGAGTCTAACTTCGTCTGAAGTACATCGAGTTTTTCTTCCTTGGTGTTGACTACCTCCTGGAGCTCCAATATCTTTTCGTCCTTTTTTCGCAAAGCGACTCTGTGAATCCGCTCGCGCGTGGTGGGAGAAGAAATCAAATCTTCCTGTGACTGATGAGGTTTCTTCCTCCATCCAAAAGGCGCGAGTTCGTAGAGCTCGCTATTCTCTAATGAGGGTAGGGCGTAGACATTGTCACCCTTCTTATTTTCAGTAGATGGGTCAAGTTCGTCACCAATGAAACCTAATTGTTCACTTGGGGCGCGCTCAGTTTTATCTTTAAGGTCCTGAATTACACGTTTTCCTTCCTCGTTATGCATTTTCTGACTTTGTTCGTTGTATAGTAGCTAAGAAGTTAGCGCTTTCTTCTGTTCAACATTATTGTGCTGTAATCACGTTTTTCTCACTGTTTCGCGATCTTTTTCTGGGACCCTCTTCTTCGGATTGAGTTCCATACTAAAAATGAGCTTATCAAACACCATGAGTTCACGGATAGCATCCCCGTAGAGTTTGTGCTCTGCGTACCTCCAATTTGGACGCCAAAAGCTACCAGAAGAATGCAAAAGAATATGGAAAGAGCCATGCGCGAGTCTGGTCTCGGAAGGGTGGAGAATGACAGCGTGGATAATCTATTTATCGTCTCCGAACCCGAAGCTGCAGCTGCTTATATGCTTGCCAGCGGGACTACTCCAATGATAGTAAGTTGTGGGTTCCTTGCCACTATCGAAATCGATAAAATTTACATTCACAGACCGGAGAGACATTCGTTCTCATTGATGCTGGTGGGGGTACGGTCGATACCATAACATATACTATTGGGAAAAGTTGCCCCTTAAAAGTAAAGGCGGAGGGTGTTGAAGCTGGTGGTAAGTTCTGATTTCATTCAACATCTCTTCACAGTATACTGAGTAATGTAGGCGATCTCTGTGGCTCTAGCTATTTGAATGAGGCGCTCCGGGAACATCTGAGTGCCAGACTTCGAGGCGAAGATTACCTTGAGGTCAATCGCTCCACAATTGAAGGTATTATAGATAAGTTGTTAGTCAGATTTGAAAATGATGTGAAAAGAAATGTCGATGTGGCGGCAGACAACGTTCCAACAGTATGGATTGACATACCTGGCTCAAGAGCGAATAAAAACCCGGACAAGCGATTCCTCAACAATCGACTCAAGATGGGATGGTGAGTGATGGAACGAAATGAGATATCAAGCCTTTCTGACACGCAATGCAGTGCTGACCTAAAGAAAATCTTCGACCCGCTTTTGGAGAGGGTTGCAGTCTTGATGAAAGCCCAATTAGATGGCGCAAAAGAGAAAGGGTTAACCGTGAGGTGTGTTATAACTTATCTATTATTAGGAGGAAAGTAACTCAAAGAGTCTAATTCGCTAAATAGAAAGTGATCCTCATTGGAGGCTTCGGGGAATCTCCTTCCCTTTGAACCTATCTAAAAAAAACAACTCGCAGCAATACGCAATTACCGCAACGATGAGATTAAACTAGTTTTCCCATCAGCTCCGTAGGCTCCCAAGAGTTATCCTTTGCATTGTTATAACTAATCATAGATACAGAAGCGAAACCACTGTTTCCTCGGGGGCAGTACTCCGGGCTTTGAATAAGAAAGGCGGCCCACAGCGTATCAGCCGATCTAGCTATGGATTCCTGTGTACCGAAGAACATGAACCGGATCAATTTCCTGCGTATAGAGGGATACGCCCATACTTTGAGCCTTTAGATGGTAGAAAATACCTGAAATATACCATCTACTGGCTCATCAACAAGGTCAATATCTATGTTTGCGACAGACCAGGGCCAATCAGACAATTTGCTTACACCATTTTTAAGGCGACGAGATTCCTACAGATAAAGATTATCGTTTACAAGTTTTTTGTATCTTTGATGCAAGAGAAGGCACACGATTCGAGTGTAAAGAGTACCTCTGTGTTTCCGACAACAAAATGAAATCACACTACCGAAAAAATCACAAGGAAAATAAAGGCGCGTAAGGGAAGATGAATTTGTGAGTAGGTCCCGAATCTAATAGAATGGGTATTTAGGAGCAACAGTGGTCGGTATCATTGAAACAGATATGACTTTTCTGAAGGAGCAGAATCTTATTCAACCGATAGAACCAGAAGAAGGCGTAAGAGCAAAGAGACACTACAAAGTCGAGTATGAACTTGTTATGATCGTGAACGATCGTAACATGAGATGGGAGGCACGATATCCTGCCGGAGGGGAAGTGCAGGGCAGAGGACAAATTTCTATTGCAGCAGCATTTGTCCCTGGTACTAAGTGATGCGGAAAATCACTGTAAGAAATATTGTCAAGAATGGGTCTTCTCTTATCAAGCGGAAAGAAGATAATGATGTCTGAAAGTAGGAGAGTGAATGTATAATATAAACTGAGATATTGATATAGATTGGAATAATGATACGAATTGGGACAACGAGCAGGTTGATACGAATTGATAGTCTAGCTTGTGCTCTCAAGGTGTTCGGTCACATGATCAAAAGAGTCTCCGTTCAAAGGGTCTAGTCGGCCACTTTCTAAAGATGAATTTATTCTCGCTGGGCTGAGAATTATTAGGTAGGTACATATAGCTGTGCTGTGCTCTCCTTTGTTCTTCCAAATAACCTTCTCAACTTTCAACTTTTTCGACTTTCCTCAACTTCCTCAACTTCCTCAACTTCCTCAACTTCCTCAACTTCCTCAACTTCCTCAACTTCCTCAACTTCCTCAACTTCCTCAACTTCCTCAATTTCCTCAATTTCCTCAACTTCCTCAACTTCCTCAATCTTTCTTAATTTCCTCAGCTTCCTCAACCTCTCAACGCTTACAACCCTTCCAACCACTTCAACTCCTCTCAACAACGTTTGCAACAACAATATATTCCTAGCAATACCTAGGTACAGGTATATCACCAATCAAGAGACAGTCCAGAGATCCGCGAGACAAAACGAAAACAATCTCCAAACATCAGCGAGATAGATTCGAGGATATTCTTACTCTCCCAAGTGAGAAAGGAAAACTCGCCAGAGAAGAACTTGTCGCCTACACCACCGCAACTACATGTCGAAGTACGCAAGGTTTTTGTCATGAAACGCAATGCCACTCACATGCAGAGGGCTTGCTCAGACATTTCAAACCATTTTGAAATACCCGGACTCAAGACTGGCACCGTGAAATACGTGCTGATCTGATCGAGGAGTGGATCAGCACAAGAAATTTGGGCAACGACCCATTCTTGATTCCCTATGGTCGTATGGTGGATTCGAACATATGTACATAGGTAGATTGTGAATGAAATATATATCTGCAATGAAACACCCTCTAATAGTTGATTCAATATAAGTGACAACCTTAACAATCGTTTGGTTAACATTCCAATGAAAACACATTTCCTGATCTTAAATGTATCCACAACATGTATCCGCAACAACTCAGCTCTACGTCGCCTTCACTATAAAACCACCACATTTCCACATCCCACACTATCCATCTTCTTCATCTCCAAAATATCAATCCAAATAATACACTCTAAAACAATCAGATCACATCTTCAACTACTCTGATTCACTACATCAAAAAAAGTAACTGCGCAGTCTTCAATAACCTAACCCCCAGATTTTTAGTTGTAGCACTCGATTTGAATACTAATAAGATGTGTAATCATTATTACAAATCCTAATCCAACCCAACCAACCAAAGAGAAATTCGAATATCGAAAAAGCTAGACTCCGCAACAATACAAAACCATACACCTCTGATCTGATATTTTCTTTACTCTTGACATGAATAAGAAGACGAAGACGGAGGTGAAGCGAAGCGAATGCCAAGAATTGGGAGGGGTGAGGAAAGAGGGGGAGTTGAGTTTATGTAGATAGGTAGGTAGGTATGGATATTGTTTATGGGATGGATTGTAGATTATGAATTAGGGGTTAGGGGTTTTGTTAATGTTATTATTATTAGATATAGATGGATAGATGGATAGATGGATAGATGGATAGATGGATAGATGGATAGATGGATAGATGGATAGATGGATAGATGGATAGATGGATAGATGGATAGATGGATAGATGGATAGATGGATAGATGGATAAATAAATAAATAAATAAATGAATAAATAGATAAATGAATAGATGAATAGATAGATAGATGAATAGATGAATAAATAAATAGATAAATAGATAAATAAATAGGAATTAAATATTTAATATAATATAGAATAAGAAAAATCAAAGAAATCAATTACTCTCTAGATAGCGAGTGAATACCTAGTATAAGACGAGGAGAGGAGCTGGTGGAGTGAGTACAAAATGAATCAGAAGAAGGGGTCAGAAGAAGGAGAGGAGTATTGAGAGATAAAATTTGATATAAGCTGAATATCAGAATTCTTTTATATTTCTTTCAGATTAGATTAGATATTTCGAATTTATTAATATCTCGAATCATCTGAGTAGATTAGATATTTCAATTATGGTAATGTCCCAAATTAGATTCGAATTTTAAATTAGATGAAAAGTTCATACCAAGTTAGAAATTCAAATGCTCGTTTGCAAACAGCATTTGGTGTGTGGTTTGTATTGTTCATATATATCTGTGGAGAATGCTTCGCAGTAACTCTTCTGTTCTGGTGCTACCGCTGCTACTCCCGAGGCCGCTGCTACCGCCGCTGGTAGGATAAATACTGAATGAAAGGGAGATCATCATACTGAGGATAATCATCAAGAACTAAACAAAAAAACTTGGATCGCTAGATAAATCAACCACCCAGTCCATATAATTTCAATATTGCCTCACACAAAAAAGTGATCTTCACTTCGCTCGCCTTTGACAACCTGCTTGTTTTCAAAGATATCATAGCATCCGACTTCTCAATCCAGTATCCTGTCGTATTCTCATCCCCTAGTTGTATCCATAGACCAAATTGCTGTAATTTGACAGTTGAAGAATCGAAATTGTAACATGGATGAGTATGTATTTCATTTGGTGCAAGATCAATGAACGCGATTGCTGCTGTACGATTCCGAATCTCTGGATACAAATTCTGCAAGGACATTGAGATATTGACCATGTGTTCCGAAAAAAAAAAGAGAATGATATTCTCTTCAAACGAGGTACTGCCTTGATTGATACAAGTTCTCCTGTTGTTATCAACGAGATTGCTTTTTCTAAGTATCTGTAATCGAGCAACTTCTGCAGTTTCCTTATTCCATCCTGCGAAATGAAGACCTGGTTCTTCATTCAAACCAACTTTCGATTTTTTGTATACAACAGCAGGAATGCCTTACCCGTGTAATTGTTCCTGTAAAGATATCGATTCATACAACCTCAAGATCGCAATCATACATGCTTCTGTCAACAAAAAGAACGCAAGACCTTTCTCGCCCTTATATTGAGCAAATTTCCGGAATTCCGATACTGATCCAGGTAAGTCCATCATCATATAATGGAACGACGATATTTCATGATGTGCTGCAACATTTAGATGTTAAGAGATTCGTCCTTTCAAACCAGCAGCACCACTAGCCATCCCTCCATAAACTCTTCGATGTTTTGGATAAATTTCAATCCTACAATAGTGACAAAGTTCAGATATAAACCTTTCACTCCATACTCAGATGGTATATCCGGCAACAACTTGTCACCAACATCTTGTCAACCATCCTCATGTAAAACCATTTCCATTGCTCTCCCTGACCATCCCCCTATAATTTCCTTAGCTAAATCCACATCATTTATCGTATGCATAAGCTCCTCCACCGAAGGATCTGCATGTGCTAGATACTTCTTACTTCGAACGTGTTTGAATATCTGATTTGGCTTGAACATTCGATCTATCCTGGATATCTAAACCGACTTGAAATATTGATAGAACTTCTGAATATCTGACCTGGCTTGGGACATTGACAGAATTGGAATATTGAAAGAATTCCAACATTTAAACAAGCTCAAAATATTCAGGGTATCTGAATATTCCATCTGGCTTAGAACATTGATAGAGTTTGAATACCTGATCTGTCTTGAACTTTCCATCCGGCATGAACATCTGATCTGGCTTAGAACACTGATATATTTGAACATCTAACCGGGCTTGGAACATCCAAAGGGTTTTGATCATCAAAATCGAATTGGAACATTGAAAGCATTGCACTATCAAATCCAAAGCAGAACATTACCTACCTAGTGACTATAAGGTTTGCTTGGCTTGGTGTACAACTTTATTTCGTCCGTCGTTGAAGCATATGAGGCAATGATCCGTGCGCATGTTACGTAATAAAGCATTCCACCAATTCCGAGGTCAATGAAGACAAAACCGCACAAACCTCGAAAACCATTCGGAGCTGGAGTCATATCAATAAGACATAGACGTTGTGCTTCAAAAACACGCTCAACCACCAAACAGCATCAGAGGGGAGCAATAAAGAGCAAAAAGAGATGAACGCGCTGAGGATCGAACTCAGAACCATTTCGGTGCAGGAACCCAAGAAACTGGATTCGAACGTATGTACACAAGCTGTGAACGAAATATCATAACCATTAGACCACGCGTCCGTTGCATGTTGTTGAAGAGGGGGCGATTTTTTGAGTATATGTTCTCTGCTCAAGGTGTGGAGGAATACCAGCTAGGTACTCAGAGTCGTTGGTGGGTTGGTGGGGAATTATGCAGCAGAAAGTGGGCGCTAGGAGGAAGTCGGTGGGTTCGAACCATAGCAAGGAACTCGTACTCCATGCTTGGTACGGAATAGATAAAATTAATGCAGTTCATGAAAGAATATCATCAATAGGAAAAAAAAGGGGTTGAAGTCATTCCCTTTGTCTCGACTCTCCTCATATTTAATATGAGACGATATTGACAAGGGGCCCGTGATTTCCCATTGTGGTGAACTTTAAAACCCCGTGTAATCTTTGGCGGGCGCAGCAAGTCTTTTGAAAGTGTTAATAAACTACAAAACTGCGAAACTGCGAAACTGCAACATTCGCCGCTAGAAATTGAGTTTCACCATCATTTATTACCTACAGCCTGCAAAGCGATAGATAGCATCATCAAAACACTTTTGGATGAGCTTCGCATAATCATCCCCTCACAGGTAACAAAAACAAACAACAAACTGAATTAAAACATTCTTTTTTTGAATTTCCTCCTCAACATTTCTTAATTGCCTACATTTCGATAACTTTGATCCCCTTCTTTTTCCCATAGCATTTGTATGAGCCGGGATGGCTGGCCGTTTTGTGCGCGCGTCGAAATATCGTAAGCCTTGTTACAATATCCCCCAGGAGAGAGGCACGAGAGCAATCGCTGACCGATCGTTCAAATAGGACATGTCTTTGGTAAATCGTCCAAGAAGGAGGCGTGCTACGATAACTTGCACATCAGTCGCAATGCATGGGATACCAATTTAATCAAGGTGGGAAACCAATGACTTGGAAAAGTGATGTAGATTTGAGGAAGAAAGGTAACTCATCATCGAAAATAGGCCAATCCTGAATATCTTTCGGTCAATTGGGAAGCTAGTGGTGGAGGCGCATTCGCTGTTATTCCTTTGAATGAAAAGGGTCGTCTGCCAGAACAAATTCCATTGTTTCGAGGTCATACTGGACCGGTTCTTGATACGGATTGGTGAGTGGTTGATAAAGTGGCAGATTGGAATAAACGCTCATCTTTGAATTAGGAACCCTTTCAACGATCGCATTATCGCTTCCGGATCTGATGATGGAAAGGTATTTATATGGGAGGTTCCTCAAGGGTTCTCCCTCTATCAAGACTCTGAAGAACCCGTCGATGTTGCGCCTGTCAGCAAGTTGGCAGGTCATTCTAGGTATGTGCCGATAATACCGAAGGCTCGAATTGATTCTAATAACCTGCAGGAAAGTCGGACAAGTTCTATTCAACCCCGCGGCAAACAACATTCTCGCATCCGCATCTGGAGATTACACAGTTAAGCTATGGGACATCGGCACCGGGAAAGCACCTTTGACATTGAAGCACGGAGATATTGTACAAAGTTTATCATGGAGCGCAAATGGAGCTCTTATGGCCACCACTTCTCGAGACAAGAAATTACGCATTTGGGATACTAGACAAGAAAGACCTGCACACGAAGGACCGGGACATACTGGCGCAAAGAATAGCAGAGTCGTATGGATGGGAGAACATAATCGCGTGGCTACCACCGGATTCTCCAAGATGAGCGATCGTCAGTTGGCTTTGTGGGATGTTGGTAACGCCAAGCAACCAATTGGAGGGTTCACTGTTTTGGACTCCATCTCGGGTGTTTGCATGCCATTCTGGGGTAGGTTACATTCATGAATCATGTTGGATCTTCACTAACGATCATCTAGATGATGGTACTCAATGTCTGTACTTGGCAGGCAAAGGGTAAGTTCATAGGCAGGTACCGGAAAGAAATTAGCTAACAATTTTAGTGACGGTAACATTCGATACTATGAATATGAGAACGACAAGTTCGAATTTTTGTCCGAATATAAGTCTAGTGATCAACAACGTGGTATCGCATTCCTTCCCAGACGTGGTATTAATGTAAGTGGTTGGCATTATGTGTCTTTCACATACCTATTCTAACCAAAATCCAGGTTCACGAGAACGAAGTCATGAAGGGATTTAAAACCGTCAATGACCAATATGTGGAGCCTATCTCTTTCACAGTTCCTCGCCGTGCCGAAGTCTTTCAATCTGATATTTACCCACCTGCGATTGGTTTGAAACCTGCAGTTACTGCTGAGGAATGGCTTGCTGGTAAAGATGGAATTCCTGCCAAGATCGATTTGGAAAGTGTATATGAGGGAAACGCCCCAGTTGAGGTACCATCCGATTATAAACCACCTGTCGCTGCACCAGCGCCAACTCCAGCCCCAACGAAGACCGCACCTCCAAAGGCAGAGCCTGAACCAGCTCCAGTCGCACAAAGAGCACCTCCACCAACTATGTCTGAACAAAAGGGTTCCATTTCTGCCATGGCCTCCAAATTCCAAGATGATGATGAGGATGAAGCCGATGATAATTCCAGCTTCGAGGAGATTCAAAAGCCAATTCAGAAGTCCGTTCCAGCTGCAGCCAAGCCGGAGCCAATCAAGCCCGCTCCAACTAAGGTCACCCCACCAAAGCCATCTCCTGTATCTCAAGCAACACCGACATCATTCGAGCCTGCAGCAAAGGCTACCCCCGCCACTATCGCTACCTCTTCCGGGCCCATTTCCGCGGTTGGTGCTTCTCAACCATCCCCAACCTCGGTTGGCGTCGAAGATTCCCTAGCAGAAATTAAGCAACTTTTGGAAGCCCAAACTAAAACTATTACGGCGCAAACGGAGAAAATTGGTCTATTGACTCAAGAGGTTGATACATTGAAGATGAGAGTTGGTCCTGGTGATCAAAGTGAAAGAATTAGACAGTTGGAGTTGGAGTTGGAAGCTGCTAAGTCTTAAATATGGGATTTAGTTGCGGGAGTGCGGTGTGCTTTGGGGGTTTTTGAGGAGTGGAAAAGAGGGGAGAGTACATTACATGACGCAGGTAGTTTTCAGGTTTTAGAGCGATAGGCGAATTGATGATTGAAAGGTGTTCCTTCTTATGAGGGCTATCGTTTAAGTGAATCTGAGATATCTACAACTGAATTATAAGTCTAGTGAACAATTCAAGGATGCAGGTATGTGGGAGTCGTAACCTAGCCGGAATGGCATAATAGATCCATCCATACATTCGTATTACATTGTCTCTTTTTTGACTACATTCATTGTTTAACTAGGTACAAACTGTACAATACACCCTCGTAATTCTTAGGGTTATAGAAAATATAGTTAATATACGTCATATCAAAATTCCGTAAAATTCGACGCTTAAGTTTCTTTCGCTGCGCGCCGAAATATATATCTATTATATCTATTATATTCCCAATAGCTCAGAATACCTACTTCCCTTATCTAGGTACCTATGGATTGCTCAGTGTAAGATTTATTGATTGTGTTATTGTGAGTGAGTAAGTGAGGTCTCTTGGTGCTAGAGCGGAGAGGAGAGGGATGTGTATGTGGGATGGATATTTGGGATGGATATGTGGGATGGATATGTGGTTACTTCATGAGTATCTGGGTAGGTAGTTATAGATGGGGTGATGGCTGGGAATTTGAGGGTTGTGGAGGGTTTGGGGGGGTATAGAGTGGGATAGGGGGTTGGTGTCGGATGGAGTGGGTTGGTTTTATGGGGTGGAGGGCTGAAATTCTTGGGAAGAGGGGGAGAGGGGAGGGGGGAGGGGAGACGAAGGGAAGCAAGAAGGCGCACTATGTGCATCCCATTCCCCCTCTCACCAGCACCATCCTCACTTTCGATCATACAATTTTCGATCATACAATTTTAATTACACAATTGAAAGCCTAACTAAATCAAAATCACTTGATTACCTAGGTAGGTATGCATAATCAGTTTGCTTGAGCTTGTGTTTATCACGTGATTTTGGATAGAATCCAGTCATATTGTCTGTCGAAAATCGAGTGGTTGTGGAAAATGTCCTGAAACCCGTTCACTACCACCTACTTATAGTGCATCGTACTACTATCATAGTTTAATGAGGGGAAGGATCATTATTTATATGCAGAGACTACTCGACAAAATAAATATTCTGTCGTTCTAGCCAAGAAATCAAGGGTTGGATTAAATCAGGAAGCTGGACTTCAATCTCGTTACTTCGCCCCGTCATTCAATGTATTATATCTTAACGGAATTTAACATGAGAAGTTTCTCATGCCAGGTTACTGCATGCTTGGATTGACCATCTGAAGATATGCAAAAGTTTGCTACTCCGGAAAATGGTATTAAGTAGTCTACGGTGTGTGCTAGCCCCATGATAATTGATCTATCAACGATTGTACACTTCAATCTAACTAAGAAATTCGTTGATAGGCATTGTTTCAGGACAAGAGAAATCTTAATAGTAATTAAGATTCGAATAACACAATATCGTCGGTATCTACAAGATCTATTCAAGTCTTGGCTCTGTCAGGAAAGGAACGTAAGAGGCTGAAAATTCCCGTCGGGAACATTATTTCCTACCCCTTTGACTTAGATTCATCAGTACCCGTGGCTTAAATGGCTGGCTACAAGCTTCATTCCTCAGCAAATATTTTGTAGATCACAAACGTCTTTTTCCGTGTTTCCTTTGGTCGTCGCGCTTCAAGAATGCTTGGATATCCACATTACATATTTCGCGAAAGTCGCGAATATGCACGCGCTTGGAGGAGGGGGGTGAGGCGAATCCCTCTGCTTATAATCTGGGTGTTCTACTATACTGGTAGATTTTTGCACCTAGTAAGTTACGGTGCTTGTGCTTTTGTCTTCGCTGCGCTCTCTCATTTTGCGCTTCTCATCATACTGTCGGTCATTCATTAACCTGTCCTTCATTGGACTATCACAATCTTTCAACCTTTAGGATGTTTGTTCGCAATGTTGCAGTTTGGGCTGTGGCTCTAAGTGTTACCGTTTCGACGGTTTTGAGCGAGAGTGCTGTTGGTGAAAAAGTCGCGAGAGCTGAAGGAGATGATAGCATGTACGTTTGCTTATGATGGTCCATGTCTGTTTAAAGACATCAGTTTGAGGATGATAAATGCTGATGATGACTTTGATAATGTAGAGCAAAACGTTTTTTGTTTTCCACAAACCCCAATGATTCAAATGGCCCTTCTCTAGCCGACCTCTTTGATTCAGATGGAGATGAGGATGATGACTCGATCTCTGAATTTATTTCGCATTTGCTCGGGGGTAACGGTGGAAACTCTGGCTCGGGAGGTGGTTCTGGCAACAACAATCCAGGAGGGAACAATAACCCAGGGAATAACAATCCGGGAGGCTCGGGCAACAACAATCCAGGTAATAACAACCCGGGGAACAACAACCCTGGCGGGAACAACAATCCAGGAGGGAACAACAATCCAGGTAATAACAATCCGGGGAACAACAATCCGGGGAACAACAACCCAGGGAATAACAATCCAGGTAATAACAATCCGGGGAACAACAACCCAGGGAACAACAATCCGGGGAACAACAACCCAGGGAACAACAACCCAGGGAACAACAACCCAGGGAACAACAACCCAGGGAACAACAACCCAGGAGGGAATAACTCCCCTGGAGGCTCAGGTGGCAATACTCCTGGCAACTCCGGAAGCGGAGGATCGAATGGATTCCCCAACTTCCCTGGCTTCCCTGGCTTCCCCGGCTTCCCCGGCTTTGGAAATAGCGGAGGCTCAAACAATAACCCAGGAAACAATGGAGGTGTTGGGAATGGAGGGTCAAATGGCTTTCCTGGATTTCCAAACTTCCCCGGCTTCCCTGGTCTTGGAAACGGTGGTGGTTCAAACAACAATCCAGGGAACAATAATCCAGGGAACAATAATCCAGGTAACAATGGGGGAAATGGAGGATCAAACAATGGAGAATGGTCCCCCTATACTCCACTTATCCAATTTCTACGAGGCGAAGGAGCCAATTCAGCTTATGCTTCCCAATTTTTAAACAGGTTAGATGCTGCCGCCGTTTCCGCCTTTCTACGTAGAGCTGGATTTGCTTCTCTCGCCGAGTTTCAACAGGAGGCTGCTGCAGGTCTAATCTCAATTGGCGACTTCCTTACCTTTTTGGATGCACTCTCACGCTATTACTTCTTACAATTATTGGGGTTTCCGTTTATCATTGGCTTTCCAAATCCACCTGTATCTCCAAGTGCAACTAGTTCACTAGCTATAGCAACCCCAATTACGAGCGTTGGTCTTATTGGAGGTACTACGACTACGACTACGACTACGACTACTACTAGTACGATACCTACGTCATTCATTCTTCCTGGTCCTTCAACTTCATCTACCCGAACTTCCTCGACACGAGCAATCATCGGCGGCCCTTCCACTTCCTCGACGAGAGCAATTATCGGAGGTCCTTCTACCTCCTCAACTCGTCCAATCGTTGGGGGTCCTTCAAGTAGTAGCAGTACAAGAAATGGTCTCGGAGCTTCAACTTCCTCGACACGAGCAATCATCGGCGGCCCTTCCACTTCCTCGACGAGAGCAATTATCGGAGGTCCTTCGACTTCATCCTCTACATCACGAAATATTATTGGAGGTCCTTCGACTACATCTACTAGACCCATAGTTGGTGGTCCCTCGTCTTCCTCCACCACCCGTAATATTGTGGCCAGCCCATCCTCTTCATCTACTCGAAACGTTATTGGTGGGCCTTCATCATCTTCCTCAACCAGAGCTGTTGCTGGTCCTTCAACTTCAAGTACAAGATCATCTACTTCCACTAACTTGATAGCAACTTTCAGAACATCTAGCAGTAGTTCATCATCGAGCTCTCCCCGGGTTTCCACGCAAGGACTTGGTGCATCATCCAGCTCTAGTTCCGTACGGTTTTGTCCTCTTGTATGTCTCGATATGAATGCTAATCTTAAATAGTCAACACGATTTAATGTGGTACCCACCACATCCACAACTCGTTCAAGCTCTAGCTCAGTGAGAAATTTCCTGTCCTACAGATATCGGATCGACGCTAATATTTTGTAGTCATCAACGCGGATCAATCTTGTAGTGACGAGCTCTAGTTCCGTATGATCTCTTTTAATTGTCTATCGATAGCAATGGAAGCTAATTCTTAATAGTCGTCAACACGAGTGAATGCCTTGTCAACAAGTTCTTCGGTCCGTTCCAGTACTAGCTCCGTATGCTTTTTTTCTTATATCTCTTAGAGTTGAATAATACTAACGAACTGATAGTCGTCATCTTCATCCCGCACTTCTGCCTCGGCTGTTGGTCTTGGTGCTAGTTCTACTACATCGCGGGTAATAATTACTCCCATCATAATGATAACGCCATATAACCATTTAAAAAATACTAACATTTATTTAGTCATCATCTTCTTCTCGAAGTACCACAGCCGTGGGCCTTGTGGCAAGCTCCACTTCAACTAGGGTAAGAATGCTGTCAGTATCACTAAACAGATGCTAATACTCCTAGACATTATCTTCCTCTTCCTCCTCTCGTAGCAGTACCACAGCCGTAGGCCTTGTGGCAAGCTCCACCTCAACCAGGGTAAGAATGCTGTCAATATCACTACACGAATGCTAATGCTCCCAGACATCATCTTCCTCTTCCTCCTCTCGTAGCAGTACCTCGGCTGTAGGCTTAGGGGTTAGCTCGTCATCTTCTAGGGTACATTATCTCTCTTTGCTTACTATGAAAATTATGATGAAGCTAATATTTTGATAGTCATCGTCATCTTCCTCTTCCTCACGTAGCACTACTTCAGCTGTAGGCTTAGTAGCTAGCTCTTCATCTTCTAGGGTATATCATTCATCTTTGATTACTATGAAAATTATGATGAAGCTAATATCTTGATAGTCATCGTCGTCTTCTTCTTCCTCTTCCTCTCGTAGCACCACTTCAGCTGTAGGTCTAGCGGCAAGTTCTACTTCATCTCGGGTACATATTCTTTCTTCATGCCCTAATACCCCTTTCTTGTTTGAAAAGCTCGATGAGTTTAATGATTTATACAGTCATCTACCTCAAGTAGTAGATCTTCAACTCTTTTGGCCGTCGTTAGCTCTAGTACTAGCCGGGTAAGTTTCACTTCTTCTTACTGTTTTATCTTGTCGATATTTATTTAATCTATTCTATAGTCATCTTCTTCCAGTTCACGCACCTCGTCTTCAACCCAATTGGTAAGTCTTGCATATTTATGTCTCACATACTTCCGTATCCATAATGCTAACACTGTTAAAAGGGTCTCGGTGCTACAACCAGTACCTCAAGATCCACTACACTTTTCTCATCCACCAGAACTTCATCCTCCAGCTCCGTCAGCCCAACTACGAGTGCCGCTTCTGGTTTATTAGTCTCACCCAATGGAAGATGCGGACCTCAATCTAATTCCTTATACACGTGCCAAGGCAGTCCTAATGGAAATTGTTGTTCGAGATTTGGATACTGCGGTCATGAAGCTGATTGGTGTACGGGTGGTTGCAATCCCGCATTTGGAACTTGTGGACTGGGGCAGTACCAAGGATTGACGACTTCGAGTAGTTCAACCGCTGTGGTAAATCTTATATTTTTTGGTCAATTGAATACATGCTAAACTAGTATAGGGCCTTGCTGGAACTTCTAGTTCCACTTCTAGATCATCATCTAGCTCTAGATCTTCCACGTCATCCCCTGTCGTATGCATCACTTCCATTATTGATATGACAAGTTCTAAAATAGATAAATAGGCCCAAGGATTAAGCACCAGTTCCACAAGAGCAGCTACACTAAGTACCAGTTCAACTGCACGACTTGTCGGAACCTCTAGTTCGACTTCTAGATCTTCTTCATCAACGGCTTTGGTACGTCTTTTACTTTCAAGAAATTGTCTTTTACTTCTCTTCTCAGGTTGAATGTTAATTTTCTTGCAGGGCCAGGGATTAAGTACTAGCTCAACGCGAGCAACTACTTCGAGCTCTATTTCCACGGCACGACTTGTCGCTGGAACTTCCAGTTCTTCTTCCAGCTCGAGTGCACGACTTATTGGTACTTCCAGTTCCACTTCTAGATCATCGTCAACATCGGCTGTGGTAAGTCCTTTCCCCTTGAAATATAATCACACTATTGCTTTTTTGTAATGAAATCTAATGCCTTTATAGGGTCAAGGTCTAAGTACCAGTTCAACAAGAGCAGCTACTTCGAGTACCAGCTCAACAGCAAGGCTCGTGGGAACTTCCAGTTCTAGTTCGAGTTCCAGGTCTTCAACATCGTCCGTTGTCGTAAGCATTTCCTTTCTGAAATAGTACCCTGTCTCCCTTTAATCTATGATAATACTGACATAAATGCTAGGGTCAAGGATTGAGCACTAGTTCAACAAGAGGATCCACCTCATCATCTAGCACAAGACCAATCGCCGCCACTGTTAGCACAAGCTCAACACGCTCATCCACAGCCGTCGCTGCTTCCGCTAGCGCTTGTAGACCAGTCGCAGCCCCTGCAGCAACCCTCGCCTTGACCGCAACTGACTGCTGTCAATACTACATCACCAGAGCCGGTGACACATGTGCCAGCATTGCCGCTCGTCCTGGTATTCCTGGCTTGAATCTCGCTGTTCTTGCTCTTCTCAATCCAAACTTGAGATGTGTAGGACAAGGCCCTCAAGTCGGTGTCGCCGTCTGTGTTCTAAATATCCAATTATCCATCGTAGGCAACCTGGTGTCACCTGGTGAATCCTCAACCGTAACATCTTCGACTATCGCAACTCCAAGTCCATCTCAGGCAATACCTCAAAGCTTCTTTATCCAGGCTCAAAATTCTGGAACTGTAGCTGATGGAACCAGTCTTATGATTCAACAAGCTGCGGAATATTTTGCTGGCTTTAATTTAGAATATGGTCAATCGGTTTTCCCATTTACGTATGATACTGATACTGGATACTTGACATCGGGTCTATATATCCTATGGGCTACAGCATCATATTCACCTCCATCCATCAAGGTGGCTCCAGTTGGTTTTACCGGATGGGTAGTTCCGGCTTGGCCATTAGTTTGTAGCATAGATGGCAACCTGAAGGTGACATGTACGGCCAATGGAGATCTCTATGGGAAATTTTACCTCATAAATGGTATGTTATCATTTTTCGTGTCTCTAGGTATTGCACCGAGACTTCTATATGTGAAGTAATATACTAACAGATAAAAGCAAACAATGACGGACAAACTGAACTCGCTATTGGAAATGGCGCAACAACAAGTTCAATCATCGTTGCGCCAGTTGACCTCTACCTTGTTGCCAATGAGGAGGAGGATTAGTCAAAGTCAAAGAGTTTGGGTGGATAGATTTTTTCAATGTGCTGGAGGGAAAATCGTATCATTTTTATTGATTTCCTTCTCTTTCGAATTTCCTTGGCTCTGGCTGGTTTGTTTTCGATTGGAGTATCTGTGGTTGCCTGAGTGGATGAATTGAAGGAAAAAATATCAATGTTTTTAGGACCATGAAAAATCTATGTGTTAATGGTGTGTAGCTTTATTTAGGTAGTTTGAATCAATTTTCGAAATCTTAGAACGAAGTCTTGTGGTTTTGTGGTTTTATTTCTTTGACAATACCCCTATTACTCGCGACACTCTCCTATGTACTATAATTGCCGAGTTTTAGATACAGGCGCTTCGAGTTTTGCTGGATTTCATGTATACACTTGAGTATTTATATTCAACGTTCTGCAAAATTATTCAAAGCTTCCTCTCTCTAAACAGATAGGTAGGTAGTTAGTGTTTGGCTTGGCTTAGTAACCAACCAACGATGTATAGACATTTCCTGTATTATACTATCAAGCAACATGATCTACAGACCCTTTTCTTCTTTTCTACTTATAGAAGTTTACGAATCGTCTGAACTTTTGAACTTTAACGTGGATCCAGATCCAAACCCCTGCCACACACAAATTACATCTCGCTAAGGCTGCGGGGAGCAAAGCCCCATGTACCCCGCCATCCTTCAACCAACCTCCATGAGCAGAACCTTATAATTCGTACGTAATACCGCGAGCGAATTAAATTTCTTCTCAGACTAAAGCAAGCACGCCATTTGCATCACGAATTTTTCTGTCGATTATTCGTCATTGAAAGTTACTTATTTCTTCGAGAGCATTTCAAAATCATGGAGAAGACAACCCGCATATCCTTATCTTCCTGCATACGCATCGTTCTCTTCCACTACACTTATTCTTGACTAAAATTCAATCTCCATACCTTCTAGAGCCAGCACAGATGAAATAAGAGATCGACATTTTCTCCTCCCTCACCTCAAAATGTCAAACTTTCATCTCCGATTAAAAAATGAAAATATCCACGTGATCGACCATACCAAAGATGCTGAAGCAAACAATCTTCACCATGACGACCAGGCGCGTCCCGTCGTCGCAGATAAACTCGCTCGCTCCCTCTCGGCCCGTCAAGTACAAATGATAGCCATCGGCGGCACCATCGGCACGGGTCTCTTTCTCGGCACGGGGAAATCCCTCGCAACAGGTGGTCCGGCATCGATTCTCATCGCCTATCTCATCGTCGGATTCATCGTCATGTTAACTATGCTTTCGCTGGGGGAAATGGCTGCATTTGTACCGATTGCGGGAAGTTTCTGTACCTTTGCAGGTCGATATGTGGATGATGGGTTGGGCTTTGCTCTGACGTGGAATTATTGGTTCAATGATGCGGTGAGCACGGCGTCCGATTTGGTCGCGCTGCAGCTGGTTTGGGCGTATTGGGGAGATACTGGATTGCCGGGTTGGGGATTGGCGTTGATTTTTTGGGTGCTGTTGGTTTTGGCTAATATTATTACGGTCAAGGCTTATGGAGAGGTGAGTTTTGGGATTTTGGAATGGAAATGATGGGAAGATGCTGACTGATGGGGATTTTAGCTTGAATATTGGTTGAGTTTGTTGAAGGTGGTTACTATTACGGTAGGTGACTTTTGTTTTCTGTGGTTTTATATGTTCAAGTGCCTCCATCTGGATGAACAGCTGGTATCCCAAATCTCTCGAATAAAGTGGGATATCAGTGAGATTTTTATTTAAGATTACTACTTGATTGATGATATCAATCTAGCTTTTGATTACCATTCAGAGTTGAAGGAGATCAGTAACGCAAAAGTTTTTGGGTGTTTATATTATGATTGTTCAATTTGTTGTCGAATATGAAAGAATACTTATTTCTAGTATTTCGGCTTTTTTAGTCTTACCGAAGAGTGCTAATGTTTCTCCAGATCTTCATTATTCTAGGAATTGTAGTCAACTGCGGAGGTAACACTTCTCATACATATCTCGGGGCCCACAATTGGTATATTGGCGACGCACCCTTCGTAGGAGGAATCGGTGGATTTGCATCTGTCTTCGTAACCGCATCTTTCGCATGTAAGTATTCCCCTTTCCCCAAAACTTTCCTCAATCTAATTCCTCTCAAGACGGTGGTACCGAATCTATTGCTATAACCGCCGGCGAAACCAAAAACCCCACCAAAAATCTTCCTCGTGTAGTGAAAAACGTCTTCTGGCGTATCCTCATCTTCTACATTCTTTCCGTCTTCCTCATCGGTCTCAACATCCCTTACAACTATCCCGGACTCTCTAGCAAAACAACCACCACTTCCCCATTCACCCTCGTATTCCAAATGGTCGGCGCCAAAGCCGCAGGCTCTTTCATGAACGCTGTAATCCTCACCTCCGTCATCTCAGCAGGTAACCACGCTCTATTCGCCGGAACCCGACTCCTCTACGCCCTATCCGTTGATCGTCACGCGCCTCAATTCTTCGGAAAACTCAACCGCAATAAAGTTCCCTGGGTAGCAGTCCTCGCTACTAGCGCCATCAGCGGTCTCTGTTTCGGAGCAAGTTTTATCGGCGCAGGACAGTTATGGACGTGGTTGCAAAATCTCGTGGGGGTCAGTAATCAATTAGCTTGGATCGCTATCGGAGTCACCTCGATCCGGTTCCGCGGGGCATTGGAGCTCCAGGGAAAAACTCATCTCTTGCCGTTTAAAAATTGGACGTATCCGTGGGGACCGTGGATCTGTGTCTTGCTTAATGTGGTGATTGTGCTGGTGCAGGGATGGAGTTGCTTCAGTCCGACGTTTAGCGCGGTGGATTTTGTGAGTTTTTATATCGAGCTGCCGGTTATGGCGATCATGTGGCTGGGCTGGAAGTGGTTGAAGGGGACGAAGGTGGTGAGTTATGAGGAGATGGATTTGCAGACTGATGTGCATGTTATTGGGGAGGAGGATGAGAAGGAGAGGGAGAGGGAGAAGACGGCGAGGGGGAAGGTGGAAAGGGTTTTGAGGTGGATTTTTTAGAGCGGTGTGTTCATAGAGTGAGAGTGAGAATGTAACTCGGCGATTTTGAGTAGTTATTTGTTGGTGAATTCATCATTGATATGTCTTCAATATACACTTTTGATAGGCAAAAATGCGTATACCTGCTGCAATGAAGTTTAAGAAGGGTTTTGGTGATGGAGGGGAGGTGAACGGGGCGAGTATGATGGATGGGCATGATGGATGGATGGGATGGGAGATGCGATGAAATAGTATCACGCAATGGATCACTACACCCATAGAAATCTCGCAGAGAAAGAATTATAAACTCTAAAAAGCAAGGATGAAAAAATATTTGAAGAATGTTTTTTTTTTCAAGGAATCTATCACCAGAATCTCAAATTCGAAATGAGTTTTTAATTACTAATGTTTAATTTCACTTCGTTTGATTTCAATTCACATCAATCAACCGATCAATCAATCACAAAACAAGAGAAGAAAAGACAAAAGATTATTGAGAAAATCCATTAAGTATTGCATTCGACAAAATATGATCCAAAAATAATGCCTCCTCATCTGATCGACTAAAAGGTATACATAAAGGAGTGACAAGAAAGTTTCGTCTCAAGTGAGACATTAGCGCATTAAAAAAACCATCTTTGCTTTGTGTTCCATCTATCCAACCCCATCGTACCCCATCGTACCCCATTCCATCCTATCCTCCTTTTTACTCCTTCTCACCATCTCAACCATCTCTCATTTTCTCTCCCTTGACATTTAATCAATCCCTTAGTTTAGTTAAGAGTATAAGTGTACGAGCTCTCGCAAGTCCAGCTATCGGAACCTTGTTGACCGGGGTTATAGGTAGCTTGGTTGCTGGAGTAGGATTGAGCGAACAAGGAACAGTGGGTACCGATTGGCTTTCCGTTCTTCTTCAACATGTAGGAGTTGAAGAACTTGCATTGGAATGGAGAGTAGTTCAAGAACTTGTAGATCATTTGCATCCACCAGGAGATGAGGGAAAGATTCTTAGAGTTCTGGGCGGTAGCATAGCCGGCGCAGACAGCGGGGTTGTATGGACCGGGGAAGAAGGCTTGTCCCAAGCAGGTGTTTGGGTGAGAGTGTCCCTTGTTTCCACCACCGCATTGTTGAGGTGGCTGCCAGCCTGGTTGTGGTGCAGGAGTGACGGTCTTGGAGTATCCGTTGGAGCCGGTGATGACGACTTGGAAATCAGTGCGCATTTGACCGGTGTTGGTGGCGGATTCAGCACTGACGCCGGAGCCCCAGAGAGTACACTTGTAGTTGGTGATGGAAGCTGGGTTCTTGCATGCATCAGATGGGTTCATGTAAGGATCACGCTCAACGTAGATGTTGAAACCAGTGCAGAGCGAAGTGCTGTCGCAGAGGGAACCGCACTGAGCAACATCATAGGTGGTGAAGGTGGTGAGTCCGAGATAGGTGACAGCAGTTACTGCAGCGTTGAGATCGACAAAAGATTGAGTATAGCCAGAGGGAGTGGCGGCATTCTTGGCATCGGTGTGGAATTGAGTATAAGCGAGGAAAGCATCAACGGTATCTGGTTGAACCTTTGGTCCATAACCATCCGGTTGAATTGCACATGCTTTGCTGACATCTGGGGTGGTTTCTGGTACAGCAGCGGTAGAAGAAGTAGGAACACTGTTTTGGGCTGTAGTTGAGGTGGGAGTGCTCTGAGTGGTTGTGCAACTTGTGCTGGCGGCTTCTCCACTTCCTCCTCCACTTCCTCCTCCGTTACTCCATCCGCCATTTCCTCCCCATCCACCATTTCCGCCCCAACCCCCGTAAGTACGTTTGACATTTTGCGAAGCAGTTGCTGAAGCAGTAGCAAGACCGGTAGCTTTAGCAGATCCTGAAGCGGAAGCAGCAGCGTTGTCGATAACTATAGATTCTTTGGTGGCAGTTGGGTGTGGACCAGTGATGGTTGGAAGAACAATAGCATTGATGGAGGCAAAATCAATCCCCTGAGCAGCTGGTTTGGCTGCAGCAAGAGCTGCAAAGCCTACAATAAGGAGTGAAGAAGAGTGCATTTTAAACGATGGATGTGATGTGAAGAAAGAAGAGTGTGTAAAGAATGATTGTGAATGCTGGATGATGAGAAAAAGAAAATAGAGGGAAAGATCAACCTAGATATATGTTTTCATTGAAGTATAGGGAGGACCCTCGAGTAAGCAAGAATGTAAACTAGTGAACGCAAAGTAGGCTTCATCGTGGAGGATAGACAGGCTCCCAGGCGACTAGCCCAGGGAAGGAAATGAGAACCCGATGAATGAATTTTTAGTTCAGCTAGACAGCACCCGTTCATCTGAGTTCTTTATCGCCTAGTTCTTCGATACTAGAATCGCTTGGATTTTCCTCAACTACGTCGAGCTGCCAATTTGACAAAACTTCCCACAATTCCAAAGAATGTGTAATTCAATGGCAAATAAGCGATGAGTCAATTTTCGGATGATAGAATGATGAGACGCTTTGAGCAATTAGTGCTCATACTAAAAACTTTAGTGCCGTTAATCCTTGGGAACGCCCGGTGCACTCAGTAAGGTACCCGCCGCTTTGAACCTCCTCAATGCAGGTACCAGAAGATTTCCCGTGCGGGCCAATGTTCCTTTTTGGATGAATAATGAGAGTAATCCACAGAAAAAAGCTTAAATAGGACTTCCTTCTCGCCTCTTCGGGTATTAGCGTTAGTCTATAAACATATTGTGATCAATGGAGCTTAGTATAAGGAACAAATTTCGTAGCCGCCGCAACAAGCCATGTGTTTGTAATGTGTGATCAAAATCTTGGACAATAGCAACTATCGTATTTGGAAGTTGCTTTGATACTAGAGCTCTGAAAGGCATCAGCACTCGTGTATGCACCCCTCGAGCCACGCCAATCGGAGATTGCGTGTAGTCTGTGTAGTCTCTATTTTGGCACATATCAATCGGACAATTTTGTAGTGTGAATGATGTCCTTAATTTTGATGGATGTAGGGTCTGTAGGGTCTGTAGGGTCAGGATAGTTTGATCGGTCCCCCTTTTTTGAAACATATATAGTATAATCAAGGCTAATACTCCTTGCGGCTTCTGGCGTTTGCCGAAGATGAACAATCCTAAGCCCACTCATAAACCTGAACTTTCGATATGGATGGTCGGTCTTGGCGGTCGGTAAGCACTTCCGAGGAACTTTAGTCTTGAGAGAGAGCCTGAACTCAGCAGCTGTGATAAAGGTCTCCAAGTCACATGATTTCATATAGTGCTCCTCATTTTTCTTTTACAAATCTTCGGGGCTATGCCTTTAAGTTGACCGTCTATACTCCTTTGCGATGAGGCACCAGCATCGAGATTCATTATTCGTTGGTCAATGATTAGTTCGATCGAGAACTGAAGTCATCTACGATGACCTTACTAGAGGAAGGCTCAATCCAATAGTTTGAAAGTCCAAAAAGCATCCAGAATTCAGAATCCAGAGATAATAAACGAAGGATTTGAGATTGAATTTCAAATCGACAAACTTTTTGTCCCTTTGCCCTTTGACATCCATTATGGCGTTGAATCTTCATGCCACAATTGAGAAATGTGCAGATTTATCCGACACTCTAAAAAGCTTAAGATGACACATTTGACTCGCTGTACTGATATGAGCCTTCGGCATCTGAATGTATAGAACTAGTAGTTCCAATGCGAGCATTTTCCATCATGTGACATGTCTTTTCCACTGAATGGAGTCAGTTGTTTCTAGGATTATCCATTTGCCGAATATACTTCCTAGTCTCAAGGAGGACACCCTTAGGGACATCTGTGAGTTCGTATATTCGATGGTGGTCTTCTTGGGGTTCTTGTGAGTCTTTTGCTCTTTGATTCTTCTTCGAACCGAGGAGATGATGATGATGATGGAGAACCCTTGGTGAAGATCCGAACTAGCCGAGACTAGCTCTCTTCGGGATTAGCTCATATTATCTACACGTGCCCAGTGCTCTTCATGTGGACGGGACGGGTGAAAACAAGGCGGCACTCGTTACATTGAGAACATTTTATCACTTCACGCTGAAATATAAATCTCATCGTATAATTTACGAATAAAATATACAGTAAACTAGAGAATACTAGTAAGTACCTACCTAGATATAAACTCACTTCTTCAACTTTTGTCCACGATAGGCAATAATTATCTGAATTGATATCGAACATTGAAAATATTGTAACCTTACATATTGGGCATCTCGGTTCTTCCTTCTTCGTTCTGCGGGAGACGTGCGCAGTGCTCAGCTCATACGTTCATCCAGAACACTCGCACGGCCAACGAACTGCATTTTCATCCGATATCAATTTTATTCAAAAATAACTTCACAAATCACTTTGGCCGTCATATCTTCAACCTCATTGTCAAAGCATCAAAATTGCTTGCCGACCTCTGTCATCTACTCATCAAGGTCCAAGTTATTGAGATTCATCGCACTTTGGCGAGCGACGATTTCCCGAAGTGTCCGAGCATAAACACAATCACGAAAACATTCACGATTCATTCTGCATTCTTCAATCTTCGCAAGAACTCCGAGGATTTATTGTTGCACCCAACTAGAAACATCGATGTGACCGCCCCCAGATATCACCTTCACTCAGCTCTCATCATTAACCTGACAGTGATCCAAACTCTTTCTCCCACCATTCTGCCTGCCTGCCATGCATTCTCATATCATTTATCCTCCCGCTGGTGGAGACAGGCTTCCAACATTTCCCACGAATACAACAAGAACTGCACAGTAACTATCATTTGTTAGTGCATACACTAACATGTCAATGGAAATATTTACGCAGCGGCAGCGGCAATGATCTCATGTCGTTTCGCTCGAGTGAAAGCCGACAATATACCCGAAAATATCAGAGTGAAAATCAGGAGCAACGCTATGAGGACCCCGATGAGTGGTCTTGAAGTGTTGAGATTACTTATAAACCACAGTAGAAAAACTGGCACGATCAACAGAATCAAGACGGCAGCCAGTATTATCAATGTAACCACCACGTTGACGCGCTCGGGACTTGAGAGAATGATATTTGAATCTTTCGAATCTGTTTTTTGTTGGAGTTCCTGGCGGAGAGGTTAATAGAGTTCGTCACCATGGATTGGACGCAGGTCAAACCGTGGTAGAGAATATATACTGCAATGCAAGTCAGTGGTCTAAGTGCTCATATACATCCGCCGGTAATACTCACTCTGGTCGCTTTACAAGGTAGGAGCTGTGGTATTCCTTCGATCTTTGTATCTAACCAAGTATTTTCTCGACTAGGTTTGAGGGTGATAAGGTCGTCTCTTTTGGCTATATAATCTTGATCTCGCGCACACAAACATACTTTGTAGTCAAGGTAATTTTTGACCCGAAGGTAATCGCTTGTCATTGGTCGATCGAAGTTCGCGAATGTTTGTGCGAAAGTTAACAATTCAGCTACAATAAATCGCAAATATCAGTTTACGTTTGTTTCAGGTGCAGCGATGGATTTGACTTACCGTACTCCTTCATATTTCTCTGAATCATGGCAAGAAGATTCTTATAATCCTCGCTCTCAGCGTGGGCTCTCTCGCGAGAGTAATTCCGATCAGGATACTTAGCTTCGAACATTTCATCCAGATGAGCTAGTCGCAATTCAAGAGCTCGCAATTCGTCTTGCTTGTCGAGGAGAAGTCGTGCTTGTAAATGGCCGAACCTTCGGTACATCATGAATTCCTCTTTGCAGGCAATCACCTCTGCCAGTCGAGGGTATCCATCAGGGCGTAAGTCGACTAGGCATATAATCAGTCCTTGGCCATAGCTATGATACTCTACTGAGCTTACTGATATGCGACGTGAATTCCGCCGGCGACTTTCTTTTCTTTAAGCCTCGGATATAAGTCAAGTATCGCTCCGTCTTTTGATCAGGTAGTGTGCGTTCAAATTTCTCTTGTGTCATACCATCAGGCTTGATTGGCAGCAAGGTTACCGGGTCAAGGCTAGCAGGCAAACAAAAGTCATCGACTTGGCTCGTGGCTTCACCCTTCTCCATTGAGTCTTGATCATTAATATCGACCGACATCGTTCAAATATCTGTACTGGAGATAAAAAGCTTGGAGTTTTGACGAGATGCGAAGAAGGTTGGTTTTAACGGTAGACGTTTCAACGGTGTAATCCTCGAATAAGCACCCGAAGCCACAATGCGTGGACCTCGTATGTTCAAGGCTTGTACTATCATCGCTAAAGCGTGTCATACATTACTAGAGCACTTCTGTCCAATACATCGACTTGTTCACGGGTTTGTGCATGGTTCGGTAAAGTCAACGATATCTATTGGTTATAAACTATCTAAGTACTACGGAGAACCAGGAACCAGAGCATCATTGTTTGCTATTGTGCTGAAGGTTGAGACTGATTTTGGCCTGGTCAGGGCATATCCGGGAACGGACCGGCATCGTTGTCGTTTGCCATTCGCAAGTGCGGCTCGTGAACACTCTGTTCTGTCCTATCGACTAATCTAACTCGATACGTAAATCTGATATCCACCATAGAGGAACCATTTACTATTTGTCCGCTATTCTTCATCCCATTGCTCACAACCCTGCATGGTATCTCCTCTCTGATCATAACTCTATCTCCTGGCCGATATGACGGAGCAGCAGGGCGCTAAAAATCGTCAGTCATGTGTCCGTTTCAAATTGGATTGAGGCAGCTTCTACGTTTGGTAAATTGATATCCCCATTATCAGAGGGCCTACAGCAATCCGAATGGAAAAACTTCTTCATTGTGGTATGATTTTCTGCGATAAAACCTATTAATTACTCTTTGACGACTTGAGACTATGGCAAGGGGAGATTAAGCTCCAAGTTATGGACTAGATGACTGCTTTCTTGGATATCAAGATCGTATTCAACTGTCACAGTCTATCTAGTTCTATGTATTATGAAGCCTGGAAAGATAGTACTGGTTGAAGAATCCGTATGGAGACAGCAGAAGGCTCTACACTTCTGATATCAATACACAAGTGTCAAGAAATCTCTTGAGTGGATATGAATGAAATCTTTCAACTGGGGTACGTGGACCTTGCTTTTATATGTGAATGGGGAAGATTAACTCTGGGGAGTCATTCAGATTTTTAGAGTTTTACGTTCAATCTGTATCTTCAAAGCATCATGTCCAGCGACTTGTGAATAAATAGGAAGGTTGTGAATCACAATTAACATGGAAGTTAGTGACTTCCAAAGATTCTGAGACCTTTGCAATCTCTGGAAGGCGAGAGCCTTCTCCGAGATGGAGTCTAAAACTATGGTGTTAATAAATTGAAGCAGGTTCATTCAACTCATTCAATATCCATTGCCTACTCATCCCCGAAACACATCCACTATCATATTATGATTCCACATCACCATACATACTGAACCGATCCATTCCATTCAATCCTTGTTATTCTTAAATATTCATCTCATTAATACCCATTCACTAGCTGACAAAAGTTTGCTTTCACGTCTCATTCGAATCATCAGTACCTAGTCACACGCTTATCAAGCTCGCTAAACCCCTATGATTTTTATTGACGATCTGATGTAGGGAAACATCAAACATATCTTTAGGATTTGGAATTTATTGCTTTTGGTGATTATTTTGTTGCTTTCATGTGGAACTCTGGTTTGCGATGTGTGGGTTTATTGAATATTAGAGTATTGTAGATTTCCTGAAAATGTTGTTCAGAGCTGATTTGATGGTTAAAATGATTTTGATGTTTGAGATAATGCTAAGATTCGACATGATTTCATTATTTATGGTGATCTTCATATTTAAGATTATTGCAGTATCTAAAATGATTGCAATATTCATTGAGGTTGAACATTCCAAAGTTTTGGATTGTTGATTTATATTCCAGACTATGAAATACCTTGTAGTTTACAAAAAAGTCCTTTTGAAACCTCGGCACACTGATTTCTTTCTTCAAGCTCTCAAACATTGACAAGTTCCTCTCAGTAAGAGGATTTACTAAGACTATTCACAACGAATAATTTGTTCCTTTGTCTACTCTAAGGAGCTAAAACCCATGCAAAACACACGCAAAATATCATCATATCGTTCCCTAATTCATAACCCCATTCATTCTCTTACAAGACCACCCCTAACTTGTCAGGAGCATTTCTCCTACGATTTCAACATTCCCAACAAATAAGACAAGACAAGAAGAGCACAATATCTACATTTATTGTTAGCGTATGAATTTCCAAAGAAGGGGAGATATAAAATACGCAGCGGCCGTAGCTAGAACCTGGTGACGTTTCGCGCGGGTAAAGAGCGATATGACTACAGAGAAGATAAAGGTAAAGGGCAGGAGAATGGCAAAGATTGTAACAATGTTGGCGGAGCTTAGAATTGACATTTGGCACAGATACCAGAGAATGCAAACCGGTATGACGAAGAGTGCAAGAACTGTGGTCAGGAGAACAAGTGATGCTATTGCATTGACGCGATCAGGGTCGGATAGGAAGATTTTCGTAGTTTCAGGGTTTGTTTTCTGTCGTAATACCTGATTAAAAGGGTGATTAGCAAGTGTCTCTTCATATATCGCATCATTCTCGCAGATGTTAGACGAACTGTAGTACAGAATATATACTATATCGGGGTGTCAGTGATATTCAACACATCAGCGATATAGCTCAACTCACGCGCGTCAAGCGGCATGGAAAGCGTTGTGGTATCTGTTCAATAACCGTGTCCAACCAACTGTTATCTCTAGTGGGCTGGAGAGTGACGAGGTCATCTTTTCGCAGGATCCATTGACCATCCCTAGCACAGAGAGGATTACTATCGGAGTAGCCCTTCAATCGCAGACGATCTGATTCCCTGGGTTTATCGAAGCTGGCTAAGGTTCGAGCATGCGTCAAAAGCTGACCTATTGCAGAGAAATCATCAAATCGATTCCTCCATCGATAATCAAATCGCACTTACAATATTCATTGAATTTCTTTTCAATGTCGGCCAGAAGATTCCTGTTATCGACATCCGTAATATTGAAGCGTTCTTGGGAATAGAGCATCGCGGGCTCGTACTTTTCATAGTACCTATCTTTATGATCGAGCCGAGCCTCTAGCGCTCGCAATTCGTCTTGTTTATTGAGTAGAAGTCGTGTTTGCAAAAAGCCAAATCGTCGATAAAACATGAATTTTTCATCACTATTGATGGCAGCCGCCAGCTGAGGATAGCCCTCAACATGCAGGTCGACTGGATTTGCATCAGTGTGGTGTTCATTTATCGAGCTTGGTTCCTTCAACTTACCTACGGAGAGGATACTTTGGTTCGGCGACTCCCTATCTTTGATTCCGCGTAGGTATTGCAGGTAGCGCTCGGTTTTCTCATCAGGAAATCCTTGCTTGTATTGTTCGTCCGTGATACCATCGGGTCTTATTGGCAGTAATGAGTAAGGGTCGAGACAGATATCTACTATAAAGCCAGGAACTTCTTTCTTCGTATCTACGTTGATCTCGCTCGCTGGTGGGGTACTCATTTTGGGTGTTTTGAGCTTGAGTTGTTGTTTTGGGTGGAGATTTTATTTGTTGTTTGTACTCCAGTTGTTGTGTGCAGTCTGGAGACTTAATACAAGTCTGACTGTTTTCTGAGGAGGTTGCGAGTCATCGTTGCTTATGAGTCACTATGAGCCCATGTTGTTGTGGTGAATGAGAGCAAAGACTGACTTTGTACAAATGAGGCCATGTGGGCACCTCGAAAAAATCAGAGGAAAATTACACAAATATACTGCAGTCCACACAGATAGATGCATTATCAAATCGCTTTTAATCAACGTTATCCCACCTGTGTGTCTGCGCTGTTGTAGCTCGTTTGACTGGCTCACTTTGAAAATCATCGAAGCTAAAGACTGTGAAAGTTTAAATCGCTCCCAGATTACTGGTCATGGTTTTTTGCATGGTTTCAACACTGTTCATACAGCTTTCCCCTGAACGATGGCTACAGAGTTTCTCTTAGGAGCAATATCATCATGATCCACGTCCACACAGTCGACGTCGTGGCTGTTGCTAAGCTAAGGACGTCCTCATGTTTCTCAAATTTGCTATCACATCACTGGCTTCAATGTCCTCGTGTATTTTGCTTGTGGATTCCTTCAAACTCTCTTCAAAGTTACATGTTCACCACCTCGTACTTTGCTTCCAAATACGACTCGAATACCGGGACGGTCATATATTCTTCCTCACGTGATATTCACTGGACAATACATTGTTTCGTGATTGGGTTATATGATTGTATTTCACACATTACTAAGTATTTGCAGAGCCTGTTCGATCTACTCTCGGATTAGGATAGGCTCTCTCAACCAGATCCGCCTCCGCCACTGGCCTATCCGAGACACGAGACTGAGTGTCCCCAGAATTCAAATATCGAACAAAATACGTATGCCAGTGGTATCGACTAGTCGCATTCTCTGCAACCACGATCCTCTCGCGTTGGTCTTCGCCGGCGAGAGTAGGACCCGAAACCACAACGGCGTCCGCAAAGTTGTTCTCCCCTCGGATCCACATGACACGCGATAAGACGCAAATTTTCGCGTCGGGACAGCGTTCTCCTTTGTGTATTAGGGTGGGATCCTATATTGATTAGTTTCATTGTGTTTCGAGAAGATGTGGAGTGTGTTACCTCTGCATTTTTCTTATTGTAGTCGCGCAGTTTTTCGCGAGGCGTCTTTCTTCTTCTCACTGGTGGCATGTCTGTTATTTTGGTATTGATTTCCTCGTTTTTACTCCGAGATTGTGCTTTTAAATTTATGCCCCGAATAGATGGCAAAGTGCAGGTCGAATGCTAGTAGCTTCAAGACTAGATGTGCGAAAATGATGTTGATGGTATAAATTTGAGTGGGTGATCATAGAGGGCAATATATATCAATCAAGTCCTCCTTGACTGTTTCCTACCCGTTGCTCAATGACACCTTCACATGAACCAGAGCATGGTTTGTCAATCATGACTCAGCTTCTGAAGGTGTTTGAATTCGGCTTTACAATCACAAATCAGTAAGGTCACAAGTATTCAGTGGTATAGGAGGTCGATTTGTCATTCTCAGCAGAAGACGCATACTACGAGGATTGTTTTACCGAACCTTATCTCATGAATCTTGGTCGGATGGCTTTCATGCATTTCATGCTGATTATGTACTATGCTGACTATGCATTGACTACCTAGGTAGCTATACATCTGAATACCTACCTGGTCTACATTTGCATGATCGCCAAACTTGAGAACTTCCATTTCTGTCTCGCACATTCTCTGTCCGTCAACATCATAACATACCGGTGGCTCTGCAGTTTTGATGAAATTGATATTTCTACAGTTAGGAAGGCTATGGCTACAATTCCATTCTTTGTGCTGATTATCTTACGCCCATGACATTCTGATCAAATCACAATATGGCTCATACAGTCTCTATATCACTCCATCCTGAAAATTCAACGATATCTCATTCCAACATCTATTCAAGTACTACAATCATCTATCTCAATATCCGGTTTCTCTCAAACACATCTCGGGGACTTCAATAAGATTAATCTCTTGAGGCTGCCTCGTTGCATCCCTTGTGTCCAACTATTTGATGCAATAAGTATGCCAGATATGCTAATCATGACCAAGAATACGCATCATTCCACAGAAAAGAATAGTAGGTCCTTCAGTGACGAGTGCTCGAAGGATTTCTATATCCCCATCATCATCGCATGAGTAATACCATACTTGAGACCCGACGTGGAATTTCGCATCGGTTACGCGCAGTCCGCTGTAGACTATGTTTGGATTCTGGGATTGTGTTATTTACGTTGCTTTAAATTCTGTTGGGAGTTGTGGAATGGAATTATTTTGCTCTTGCGTTACTTTCATTGTAGTTGGCCGGGTTTCGAAGTGCTGCTGATTCACTCACCATGATTCTTTCGGGTCGACTTTTTGTCCTGCTAAAGTTAACAGTACTTCTATAGGTTTCCGCTATCTTAGGATATGAAAAATGGCAGTATCGAGCGATATGGATGTCTGACACAGTATCAATGACTAGGTACCTAAGTGAAGTTAAGCAGAAGGATTTATCTGCTCAAATTCCAAGTGATTTGGGTCACAGAGAGGTGTTTATTCTCACAATCTTTTTCCTGGTAATTGTATCGAAACAGTTATCTTTAGAGAAAAAGATTTCACAAATTGCATATGTATAACTCAGCACCAACAGTTCATCAAATCACAGTCACAGTCAAAATCTCTAAAGGTACCTAATCATATTATTCATTTCATAGTACGGATCAAGATCCTGAATATTCGCTCTCAATTTTTTTAAGCAATACAATATTCAAAGTGAATGCAACGTATCAAACTGTTTGAATCTGCCAATTGGATTCATAACCCCAAATCTTTTGATTTCCTGTCTGCAATCCAAATCATTGGAGGCTCTAAAAAAATTGATTCATGATGGGGCAGATACGACAGTATGGCGTGTTATACGGATATTTTTGCTCAGTACAATTTCTTTTGTTTAATATAGTATTATCTGATTTCAAAATCAATCTGATATGTGTTATTTAATCTTATTTTCGTCTAATAAAATTTTATATTGTTATTTAATCTATTTTAACATGAATTTTATTATTTCTCTTAAATCTTTTTCTAGATCTTTTTCTTCTTTTTTAAATCTTTTTCTAAATCTTTTTAAAATCTTTCTAAAATCTTATTTAAAATCTGTTTACAAATCTATTTATAAATATTTTTATATTTGATTTTAATTTTAAATTTTGATTTAAATAACCAAAACTTGTTTTGCAATCATATTTAAAAAATAGTCTAAAATTTAGTAATTATTAATCAAAGTCTTAAAATATTATCCTTATTATTTAAATCTTTCTAAATCTCTTTTTTTCTTTTCAACTTATTTTTTTCTAATTTACTTTATCAATAATTTAGATTTAGGTTTTAAATTCAAAATTGAGGTTTAGAATTGAGATTTAGTCTTTGTATTTATTTTGAAATAATTGATATATATAAAAATTTATTAAACAAAAGCATAGATTCAATAATATCAAACAATTTGATTATTATCATCTAATATCGTTCTGAGCAAAAATGTTCGTATGACGCGCCATATATCATCAGAGGGCAATTAGTTAAATTAAGAGATTTTAAAATATGGGATTGTTTTATAGATATCAATTTATATCATACACAGACACACAACACTAACAACATGAACAACATTATATACCAATGAAATATATGTAATAAGTATTCTTCTGAAGAGAGGGGAGGGGGGTCCATACGCATTCTCGTTACATTAGCAAGCCCAACTCTCTACCTCCACAACTTTCCCACCTTATTCGATTTCAGAAAGTTGAAGTTCATATGAAGATGTGCTTGTTATTCTGACTCAAATGTTTGAGTTCGTGACTCCGATCATCGAAGCATCTAGGATCATAATTCTCTACGCTATTCATATGGAAATCCGTGATCTCAGCATCTGTGTTTGATTTGCAAACCTGCACTGGTCTTGTGCTATTGTTTGTATGAGCAAAGTACAGCTGACGTAGTACCGACGGTGTAGGTTCTAATTGAAAATATTGTATTACGTCTAAAGAGCTAGCTACCTATGTACAGGAAGAAGCAATCCTTACAGGTATGTTGAGACTAGCCCTCTCGCTTAATGCACTACAGCAGCCTAATGACTTAAGGTCATCACCTAAGTTCATACGGTTGTTGCAAGCAGATCTGTCAGTATCAAGTCAGCTTCTAAGCGATCAAACCCCTCATTCCATGGGGGAAGAACACTTATATATGTAATGCACAACTTACAGTAGGACTATCTTTTAGTTTAAATCTAAGATTATCGAAGGAAAATTGTAAAGACCGGTTCTCTTTACAACTTTTGTGCCAGGCTGAGAAATTTGTCGCAATGTCCGATCCACCAAACGACTTCGGTGGTCCTCCAGCTCCATCACCACTCCACGATCTATTCGCAGGCAAAGTGTTTGAGGTCAACAATCTTGTGTATTGGACTAATCCCACAAACCTAATTTGGACGCAAGCGGTACCTGTCTCGATTCGCGCCACCATTTTGAGGAAGCATGAAAACCCCGTTGTTCCTGCATCTTCTTCTACATGTCTCGATCAATCAAGGAGAATTGCCGAGGCGAAAGCCGGCGATGTGGATGACTGGTATGACATCATGTTATTTAATGGCGCTATAAAATACAGAGTCAATGGCAAAGATTTAAGCTGGCGTCCAGTATCGGAACGGTTGGAAAACAATCATTAGCTTGTGATTTTCTAGTATGGGGTTGAATTGTTTGGTGGCTTTGAAGACAATGATAATCACTGGGATTCTGCTTCTGTGCTTCATCTTCTCCATGTAAATATCATAGGATACCCATACTTAGAGACCGCATGTTTAAAACTTTATTCGGTCCTACAAAACCTGGCTGAAAAAGAATAACTGTTGCAAGTGAAGTGAAATAATCGATCTTTGAGTGTGTTTTCGTTAGACCAAAGAATGCGCAAAGCTTCCGAATTGCTTTCAAATTCATAGTAATCACAAAAAACAAGCACCAACTACATACATCTCTGTTCTTCTGATTTGGTTGTTAATCAGGCAAAATCAATATAGTGTTCTCGTCGGCCAGACTCTATGGCACCCGTATGCACCTGATAAACACACAAAACGCATAATATGACTTCCCATGATTTGGACAAGGATTTATTAACACGTAGAGTGGTTGCAGTCACCATGTAATTTTTGACTTAAGAGCACAATAACAGAAGTTTGGTTCCTGAATGAGGAATGATAGTGGTTTGCTTACAACACCTCTTGTAGTACGATAGAGTCAACCTTCAAACTCCAAACAATTCACTGCTGTAATATTTAAAGCTATTCACTTATATAAGAGGGAAATTGGGTGCCAAATGAGGAAAACTGAAAAAAAAAATCCTTGATTCACTAGAAACTCATTAAATTGCTCTTCAGCTCACGAGAAATTGTAACAACACAGGGCACAGAAACTTTCCAGACCCCTCAAAAAAAAAGCATCCATGTCGGACCGACCCCAAACTCCTTTTATGGCAGCCCTCTTTTCCAGTTCTTCAGAAACTGATACCTCGGCTGTTCGTCATACCCTCTATTTAGGATGCGTTCGGATCGATTTATTTCGGCATATTTCAATTATTAGATCTGATTTATTTATCAAATAATGCTTACTAAGCTTAAATAAAAGGTTTACCGAACGCTGAAATTGTGAAATAAATTATTAGGGAATTATTTGATTTGTAATATTCCTAATAAATTAAAGCGACAAATACTAACAAATGTTTTCAAGATTGTTATATATTAGCTATAAAGCAGCTTTTTAGAGTTTTACAAGTAATTCTTTAACAAATCTTTATTATTATCTATCCTTATCATTTTTCAACATTATCCAAATATTTTCAATATTGATTCAAATATATTAGCCTCAATATCTTTGCTATCTTAACAACATTACAAATTTCTTCAAATAAATAAAAAAACGAACCGAACGCACCCTTAAATAATACCCTGTGTCTAGGTAGTTACAAAGCCTAGCTAACATACTGAAGGTTCCACGATCCGCGGAAGCATTCAAAACAGGCGACATACTCTTGTGGACCGGTCACAAAGGAACTACACCTCCTCCATCACCACCACCAACATCTTCTTCTTCATTTTCTTCGCCCCCCTCAACCAACAACTCGAACGATGATGCTAAAATTCGTGTCGCTGTGATTAAGAAACACGAAACCATTATTGCGGCGCCACGTTCACACCGAGGAGCAAGTTTGAACGGAGCTTCGACTACAAGTACCAGTAGAACTATCATGCCCGAAGAAGTTAGCGTTTTTTATGATATACGAGTTGACGGGGAGACGATCGTGCAAAAGGTCAATGGGAAGGAGTTGAGATGGCTCTGATTATCAGATTCGGTCGGAATTGCGAAGAAGTAGAGGATGTTAATGGGCAATAGCAATATGGGTTTATCTAGTCTTGTGTGAGAATCGTAGATTTTGAACACATGGCTGGGTTTGGAACAATAGAAGTCGTTGATTTTTGATGCCAATTTTGAAAGTTTTTGTTCTTGACGGGCTGTGATTTTTGTATCGTGATATGAGTTCTCCATCAAATGCTATTACGAGGTTTTGATTATAAAAAATCATTTCAAATGAATTTGATAATAAAAGCAATTTCAATATTTATTGATGATTGAATGTTCGAAGGCTTTTGATTGTTAAACTACAGTCCAGACTATCAGACACCGTGATAAAGTCACCGGCATCAGTTCATTTGTATAATTGGACTGTGATTGCCATCAAGGCACCCCAGATATAGGCTCAACTTTCTTGAAAAGTCCTGCTTTGACAAAGTATGAGTGTTCCTGAGCAATTTCGGAGGTGAATTACTTGTATGTTTGCGCTTCCAGCTAGTGATTCAGAGTTGTTAGTTTGTGAATAGTTGCTAATTATGCGTTTTGCAGACATAGTGAATCTAAACTACTCAAGAGCGTAACAATCTCCAGTTATATAAGTCAGAACTTACGTGTAGACGAGAAGGTGCCATAACAGAAGATTAACATTTATTTATTTCAAATAAACACTAGTCAAATTTTACCATCTTCGAATACCACAGATAATATCAATTCTAATTACATCACAAATATCACAGTCGATATCTCTCGCCATGATTCCAAACTCTAACCAGAAACCCCTGATGGGCAATTCCTGCTCTAATTGCTCTGATGACACATCCATTCTCCCATCCGTCCGCTTACCCCCTACTCACTGGCGAGATCTCAACTAACGAACTTCAGGATTCTACAAAAGTAATTTTCAGGAAAGGCACTCGTGTTTATTGGACCGGAAAGGGAGAAATATCAACAGCACCCACATCTGACATTCAAACTGCGCCAGAAATTAGCAACGCTACCATGAACCGAAACTCGACATCGGAAATTCATTCGAGCATTGGTGCTCCGACTGAAAATGCTGAATTTGTTACCGTTACCGTGAGATCGGAGCGCATTAGAGAGGAAATCTGTCCCGAGGAAGGGCGGGGAAATTTCAATATTAGGTGTTATTATATGATAAAGTTAGAGAATGGGGAAGTGAAGAAGGTTGAAGAGGGACAGCTAAGTCGGATAGCAAAGGATCGATAAGGCTCTCTTGAGTTTTGGCACACTCTCCCATGTACCATAATATGAATTGATATCTCAGAGTAAACAATGAATCAAAATTGTTCAAATTGGAATGGTGAATCTAAAGAACCAAAATCAATAACTGATAATCGATTCATTCTCGAAATGATATATTATTGATTTCTTATTCATGTTAGCAAGGTCGATTTTTCATTTTGGTACGCCACGAATTGAGTGTAGCTGAGCAGATGGGAGCATCATACTAAGATCAAAGAAGAACATTGGTGATTTCGAGAGGTTCATCAGAATGTCAACTACATACAAATAATCCAACGCCACTCTCGAGAACCCCTTTTAAAGCATCGCTAGAATCTCTCCACTCAACACAAACATCTAAATTTCAAATAGCCTAATCTCCCGAAACTGATCTATTCCTAGCAAAAACCTTCAAATCTTCCTCCCTAGCCCTGCTCGTCACCATTTCACTAGTCGAGAATAGAGGAGGCTCAACCATGTACTCAAACCCCTGAGTGCCTTCCATTCGGTTCGTTTGTATTATGACGTATAAGTAACGGCCGTTGGTACGCCATTGTGCGTGATCTCCGGGGAGATAGGGCGGAGGTATGCTTGGGAGCGCACTGTTCGACATAGTGATGCGGTATGCTGTCTTGTTGTTTTGTAGACTTTATCTGATTCCTTCGATTTGAGTTGTTTGCAAAACCAAGAGGGATATGAATAGGAACCTTTACAATTATGAGCGCAAAACTTTTATCCTTATATAGGAAAAGAATGAACGAACACATATATCTATATACATGACTCAGGGTTTCAAACACCAATTTCAAAAAATCGGCGTTTGTGGAAACATCGTCATCAGACCTTCATCACCAGTAGCAATACAAACATCGGCATGTAGAAAGTTAGTCACTATCCTCAAATTAGGCTCACATTGATGATAGACTTCTTCATTATTGTATACATATACGGAGAAGACATTATCTCCATCAGAAAGGTTTGCTCGCATGCTTCTGAATATGTGAAATATCACAAAAAGGGAAAATCGCTTAGGAATTTTGCATCACTTGTCTTTCCCAAATCCCAATTTCAACCCACATGAGATGCATCTAGGCAACTGCTCCCGTATTATTTAGAAAGTGAGAGACCGCGCTGCAGGCGTCTTTGCCTTTTCCTCATGGCCATGAACGATTGATCCCGTCTCATTAGCATTTGATCAAATCGCGTTTGTCGACTGTCCTTCTCGTCCGATTCTGAATGGAATGGCACGTTTCATATGACTAGTAGCTAACCCTGGGGATACCGCATTAGGCATGTGATTTCTTCCATCCGATACCTCTTGTTGCCCGGACAGATGGTACTTTAGTTTAAAGAGGAACACTGTCTGAGAGATCACTTGAGAAACAATTGCTTTGTAAAATTGATATGATTTGAGAGATTCAAAGACCATAGGATATCAAAACTGCATAAACATAAAACCTGACATCAATTCAAAATATGATACAACTTTCGTACAGATCCCAGCCCTAGAATCAAAACCTTCCTGTCAATCGCAATCTAGCATCTCGCTTCAAGCGCCAACGTCTGATCCTTAAAAATCTCATGTTAGCTTGGTGTCGAATGTGTTTCGCCGCATCTGGATAAGGGAACATTTTTGTCCCTGGTAGACAATTATCAATCTCAGCTATTGCCTCTTCCAAGCTTAGGGGATTCAGAATTCGCGCTTGTCGATTCGCTTTAACGGTGGATCTTCCCGGTCCGTAGAGAATGATCAGACGATTAACAACTGCTCTTCTAATCGCATGTGGTTCGATCTCTACACCCATATGGTGGAGTTCTCGCAAAAGTACAATCCCATTCGTGATATTGTATGTTACTTTGTTACTCGAGCGGACAAAGCCTGGAACCTTTGGCGACGGGCTCGCTAACGCTCGTTGAAAACCCCATTCCACAATGGCCCTTTGCAGACTGGGTGGAAAGAGACACTTGAGGGGATGTTGATGGTGCCACTTAGGAACTAGATCGTCCGGAAGTTGCGTGCGATCTCGAATTCGTAGATGGTTTGCACCAGGTAGAAGATCGTGATTTTTGGAGCCATACCAGGAAGCTAGAAACAAGCACAAATTGTGTAACTCTTTTTCGCGGCCAAGCATCCCTAGTCGCCGAATGATTTCGGTCCAATGATGTACTGGAACTGATGAGCCAGATGTCATGATACCTGTCAGAATCTTGGTGGCCATAGTTACATCATCAAAATTATTGTGCTTAGAATCCATCACTGGTCGCCGACCGCGCCGACGTGGTCGCAAGAGTTGCTGCAGAATACAGGATATCGAGGTCGGTTTCACCGGTATATGATTTATCCGCATATCGGATAATGTCTTCAGTACAGCATTCCATTGGTGTCTGATAACGCAAATCCTAAGGTGTATGTTGTAAACGTCAAAATCAGGAGTTCTACTCCCGACTAATCGTATGGCCATCGCTTGTCGGAACTCGGTTAATCGTTCTTTCGCTGCGTACGAAGCCAAGAGTTTCTCTTGGAGTATCCAATCATCAAGTGCTGCAGGATGCTGGTCGCTGTTTACCAATGCGTTTACATATTCTTGATTTCCCTCTCTCGCAAAAAATTCCACGGCCTTGACAAACTTCGACTGACCAGGAGATATACCAAGATCTGCGAGCTGATCAAGCCTCTTAATGATAGCTTTGGTATCCGGATCCCGCAGAGCAATAGATTGAAAAGATAGGGGCCCAATTTCTTTAACTCCCAGTGCGTGAATGGATTGTATGGATACATCTAATGGCACCCAAGTTGTAGCAAGCCATCGAGCTCCCAACTCATCATCATATTTCTTAGGCTTAATATGAAAGACTTCACCATGAATAAGATTCATCATCTCTCTAGATATACTTTGAGTGCCTTTAAGCTCATGCTCTAGACCAGGAGGTATGGATATTCCTGCATGTACCAAGCTGCGGGCGACCCGAAGACCCAACGGGCTTCTAAATCTTGTCAACAGTCGAATCAGATCTTCCGTAGGTCTTGCAGTTTTAGGAAAGTCTTTTTTCTGGAAAAGCGAGAAGTGCCATTTGTATGCAGACGAATATTCTTCTCGACGATATAATGGTACCAAGATGCTGGAATATGATACATGAAATCTACTTCCTTCATAAATCTTCCGCAGAGCTTCGATATCTCCCCCGAAAGTAATCACTCTGTAACATAATTTCTCGAAAGCTTTAGCCTCTGGTGAATGATGCACCATCAATCTTCGATGCCATTGAAATGCTTCGGCGCCCCTGTGATTCATTAAAAGATGATACATGAGCCTCGTGTAAAGTCCATTCCAACGTTGACCGGTTTGTTGCAGTAGACCATCCGCATATCGAATAATGCTTTCGAGCACAGCTTTATCTTCTAGGCCTAAATCTAAGAAGGCCCTCCACATTGTCCAAGATGCCAAACCCTCGACTGGCAATTGGATGCTTCTGGTGACTATTGCTTCCCAAATCATCCTCACTCCCTCATCACCATAGATTCTTTGCCTATATACTAAGAGCACCGCCCAGAGTTCAATATCCTTCTCATAAATCGGGTTATCCACTAATCGTAGTGCGCCTTCCCGAGCCCTTTCGGATACACGCGATTCATATTCAAGTTCGCCAGGTGTGAAGTGATTTTTCCATCTATTGTAATTTTTGGTAGTCATCGATTTCGTATCGGCATGAGGCATGACGGTGTGGGAGCCATTCGGAGCTCTTTTCGAAACCACATGCCGTATGGCTGGTTGGGCGGTAACAAGGCTATCATGTTGCGAGTCATACTGGTTGGCAGCCTCAAGCCCAATGCTGACACTTGCGTAGTTTCGATTGCATCTCTTACCAGCACAATCATATTGGATGTTGGCGGACGGCGGGGTATTCGATGCGTGTACTAGATATCGAAGGAGATTCAATGATGAATATCTAGAGATGAGTCGTTGTAAAGCAGGGCGCATTATGATGCGCCGTCCCTTGAGATTTCGGTCAGATACTTATACAGATCCATCACTGCCATAGAAAGTATCGCATGCTTTTTATTAAAGCTTACAAGTTAATCGAGCATTGTCTTTCTTCAAAATATTTTGGGGCTGCTTTGGAAGTTGAAAATGCTTAGTCATAAACACTAGCGCGGCTTTGAATCCGAGCTTCCTGCGAATTCAACATCGAACCACTTCCTCGAATACCCCAAACAAACCGCAGTAACGCCTCGAATACAGACACAATGGCTGGGTAAGTAACAATTCTAAGTCTTCACAGGACCGTGGTATATGTTGAGAGGTTGCGGAGATCATGGCTACACCCGACTCCACCCTTCACCGAACCTGCGAGAAATTGTTGCAAGACCATTTGCTGACTCTTCAACCCAATAGCTACAAACTCCGCGAGAACCGCGTTCCTTACTACCAGGCGCTCTTCCAAGAAGGTGCTAAGAAGCACATTCGTCAATGGAACCAAGTACGTAAATTGCTCTCTATTCCCAGGCATGGGGGTGGGGGTAGAAAATACCCACGGCTATTATGAAGGACAATTCTGATAAGTTATGCAGACTTCTCGCAGCAAGATCATGCTCTACCCATACTACGTCGCTCTTTGGGGAGGTTTCGCCGGTATGTATAGCATTTTATAAGAGGCAGGAACGGTTTGACTGATATTGGAATGATAGGATCTATGTACATGATGTCGAGAATGGTTTTGGGACACAAGACTTGGTTCGGAAAGGGATAGAGGTTGCGAGCGAAACGATAGAGTATGTGGATGCTTGGGATCTCGAGGAGCGCGGCGGTGTACATTGAAGTCAAAGGATAGATCAATTTCATTATACCTCGAATATTTGGCGACAAACCCCATGGAAATGCAACACCTTACTGGCCTCAATGATATATGTACCTACTCAGTTCCACGTCAGAAGAATCATTGTGCAAGAAGTCATTTCACATTTCAAGATTTTTGTGAAGTTTCCTCTTCAATTTTCGTCTAATTATCTCATATCGTGGAAAAATGACGCTTCTTCACAACGACACTTAGTCCTACATCACAAGTGTGTGAGATATTCAAGTTTAACATTGGCGACACATGGTTCTGAGCGTGCCTGACCTCATTTCGCATTGTCGAAATGGTTCAATATTTTCATCATGTTATTGATTCATTTCAAAAACCTCTTTGCGTGGGAAGGTCGATGATGACGAGCGGTTATATTCTTTCTAGTAAGGGAGAGACTGTTCGGTCAATGTCTTCGCTGCTCATACACAGTGCTGCACTTGAATTCAACATGAGTTCAATCATTGAATCACATGACCTGATAATTAGTTTCACGCTACTATTAGAACAGCGCAGAAGCCAGATACATTAGATTGTACACTATACATAGTAATCTGATGTAAATTACACAGATCGTTTTCAGAGACCTTGTTCTTTGGAATATAAATACAGAAAAGAACTTTCTCAGGACTTCCAGACCCCTTCCTGAAGATTCAAGAAGTCCTAGATTGTATAATCTATTACAGCGAGAGAGAAACAATACCCCCTTTAACTATATGAATAATATTCGCAAAAATATTGATGTCATGATTTTCTTGCTGGCTTTAGAACATAGATCTAGGCTAAGCTAACAACAAGCTAAGTAAAGATTCTTTTCAGAATGTACTAATAATCTCCTTTTCGTTCCTCAGATGTTACCCTTACCACACCATTACCATTTACCATTGTTTAAAAATCACAAATAGTATCATACACATTTCAATCGTTATCTATCTTCGTTCTAGTTATCATCCTCATCCTCAATTTCTTCACCTACAAACTATATCAAAAAGAACCTATTTACTACCCCGAGTCTGTTCATCTTGTGAACATGAACGAACAAAACAAGCCGCTCCTTACCATTCACGATCTCCTAGCGCGCGTGGCGCCACAACTACAACGTACCGATTTACCAATTACCATCCGAATTCTCACCTATATCGCCGCTGGCCGTGGACTGATGGCTCAACTCTATATAGACGGGCCGGTGAAGTGTTTAACAATGTTGGGTGGTGTAGGCCTGGGGCCCGTCAAGCCTTATTTTTGGCGGTTATTGATTACAATTTTGCTTATACAGCAAATTATTTCAGTTATATTCTGGCTGTTTGCATTCAGATTGTATATGCCCGGATGGATTTCCTATCAAGTTCTAATGCTAACGTACATAACCATTAGTTTCATGCATGCCGTGGTCTGCATTCCGATCCTCTTTCTGCCCACGTCACTTACACAAGATTGGGAGAAGAGCTTGTACATTTCTTCGTGGATCATCACTGCCACTGCGTTGCCAGGTGTTGTCTCTTATATATGGTTTTCGTGGAAGAAGTTGGAAGGAGAGCTAGAAAATCTTATAGAGAGTCACGCCGTTCAAGATTGATACGAAGATGAAATTAAATCTGATTCTTACTCTATCAATCGATCTTCATCTCCGGTGATTGAATTACACTGTGAACGAACTTCTTATGATCTCAAACTCGAGTTGGATAACTGAAATAGAATTATCTTTTGCGTCTCGGATGTCGTAATGTCTCGACCAGACAAATACCTTTCACTTTTCTTAAACTCGCTTCCCTTCTTCACTCTCCTTTATGCACGAGCCACCACACCCTTCATCCAGTTGCTTTTAGTGTTCGCGCATCGATATCAATCAAGTCATCGAGGTCCCTTCAAACAATCTCAATCCAGCATTTAAGGTAATGATCATTCATCTTCTACTTTACTCTCATCACATTCTTAGCGCAAGGGTTACTATACACATTTGACACAACAAATCCCCTATACTCATCATACTCGCTGACATCTCAACTCCTCAAATTCGTCCTTTGCTTTTGTTATGGTCCAGGGGTACCATCCTATTAACACAATCACGGATTAAATGTCTCGATGAATCGTCGAGAATCCATGAGAATCCATCCGCATGGTATCCTATCCCTTCTTGCTCACTTCATAAGAATCCCACTTCTCCACCTCTCACTTCCTTACCATCAATATGCGCTCCTCTACTAGCCTCCCTATCCCGCACATAATCTCAGAACCCTTTACTCGTTACATAGGTATCAAGAAAATCTCCAACTTCGCGTCTGTCCACCGAAAGTGCTATTTTTCGACGAAAACGCCGACAACGCACAAGCCATATCCATTTCCATTCGCCGCCATGGATACATCAATGCCTTCGCCCGCACAATTTTATCAACTCCTTGGTTTATCACCTACTTCTCCCCCTCTTCCCCTCTTCCTCTCCTACCCTTTTACCTCCAAAACTCACCTATGGCCCCCAAGTAAATACATATAAGATCCACTCTTCATCCACTCTTCACCCATTCAAGTCTTTTAAATTTCAACGCTCTTCGGAATTTTAGGGGCGTCTTAGGTTTCAAGACATCCATAATCCATCACAAGTCCACAGTTCTCGAAGCAACTCAACGGACGAAATACAATCCACACGACTTAGCAAGATTAACCAATGACCATAGAACCGGGCATGACGGCCAGTACATCCTCAGCGCATTATACAACAATCTACATAAACATCGAGTGAGCAGCATCAACTATCTTTCAACAAAACCTTGGATACCCAAACTCGTTCGGGTAATCATAGCAGACATATAAAATCATGTCTTCTTGAAGATTCGAATAGTAAAAGTTCACAAATTTATTTCAAGTCACATCACAAAATGCAATATCTCCCTCGTGTCTCTGGCACACCTGTTAATTTAAACATGTACAACTTTTAATTCAATTCAAATTATCCCATTACCCCTACTGCACATTGTATCCGCAAACCATGGTATATTCGACAATCTTGAATTTTGCGTCCTTCGTTCTCTGATGCGATAAAACCTCCTCCCCACTTCATTATATCAGTACATATCCTACAACCCCAACTTCGCTCGCAATCACCAACCCTGGAATAGACATTTATTTCCAATCCTGAATCCCCCTTCCCTTTTTACCGTCTCAAGCACCCGCACTATCCTGTCTCAACATTTCGGCAACATCCGCATCCAACCCCTCCATAGCATCCCCTCCCATCTCCGGAAAATCATCATTCAATTTCCTCTTCTTAATGCTACTCATCGAGTTGCTGCGTCCATAACTAGTAGAAACACTACTTAGCAAATCCAAACCGGAAGTTGGTGACATGGACATAGATTGGGATGTGTAAATCGAACCATTAGTAGCAGCCGCCGAGGAATTGAGGTCAAAGTCTGGAAGTGACTCTTGTTGAGCGGCTTCTTCCTTCATGGGGCGCAATGGAGGTGATAGAGGTTCAACTTCCGGACGATCAGGTTCGGATTTAGGAGTACCCATTTGGTTTCCTGGACTGCCATCTGCGGGTGTGCTCTCGCTGCTGTTTGCGAGACCCTGCATAATACTGTCTTCCACATCCCTCTTTTTAATGTCGATTTCATTACGTCGCGAGGAGAGCAGATTAAGCTGAGCCTCTTCTTCTGTTAGGGCATTACGATTTGTCTCTAGCAATTTCTCCAGTCCTTCGATCAGCAAGTTACGCGATTTAATAACTTCAGCCACAGCTCCTTCGGCGTTTGCCAAAGTCTTGAGAAGGCCATTGAGTCGAGCAGCATAGACTGGCGCAGACGGAGTTGGCGTATTTGGATTTGTGAGCTTTTCGTAATCATTGTTCGCCGAATTCGTAGAAGTCTTTGTAGAAAGTACCAATTTGGATATTGTTTGCTGGGGTCCTACAAGAGGTTGAAGTTCGCTTGGCGCCGACGATGAATTGTTGGAGAAAAGGGATCCGCCCAATCCTTTCCTGTTTGAGGATCTTGATTTCTCTAGTTCTGCGATTATCAGTATAAGCTATTTCAAATCCGCAGACTGACCTACCCTCGATTCGAGCCTCGACTGCCTCTTGTATAGGAATTTCGAAAATCTGTCTCTGTCTCCAAACTTCCACGACTCTCTTCAACTTATTTTGGACATCACTTGTAGCTCCCTTATAAGCTGTAGCTGTAGCCTCTGCGATTACGGGAGAAAATGCAATGAGAAAATCATCCTTGCGCCGAGCTTTGGATTGTTGTGCGACCTCTGTGAAAGACATAACCATTAGACATGATTTAGATAATCGAACCATATGTTTGCACATTTTGGGGGGTAAGGATAAATTCGAGTTAAAATGAAAATAACTTACCGTTTGCGAGGTACACCAGGTTCAATCTCTTGTTACTTCCAGAATCCTTCAATTTTTGAAGCCAAAGTTGTCCAGTACGGTCGGCATATCTCCTAGACAAAGGATAAGCACATTGAAAAGTCGACGAGGTCAATAATATCTGCCTACCTATGAAACATAATCCATTGCGCAACGGTGACCTGAAGATCATATTAGTCGGCCATTCATTACCTGGAATCCAAGAGTGGTACTTACAATACTCTCCTGTGTCTCGTTCAAAGCGGAAAGTTTTGCCAGAACGGCATCATCGTTGTAGGCCATGTTTCTTACTTGGGACTTGATGGAAAGGAATGGCGAGTATTCAATGGAGTTTTTGTTTGTATTCAAGCGTTTGCTTGTCGGCGTCTGCTTGCTAAATTGAATTTACAAGGTAAAAGAACGGCTTTGTTATACAGCAGCAATCCAGATTTCACTTATTAAATGGCGAAAAACAATTGATAAAAAGATGAAACTTTCCAGAGATAATCTCCAGATATTGATGATCTTTTATGTCTACTCGATTTGATGTGAAAAGGGAAAATTCAGTTGAATTGTGAGTTCTTATGTTGTTTGCATCTGGAGTTCGTTCTCAAGCTCTCCAAATAATCCTTAGTGTCGGTAACTTCCGTACTAGCACCCCGGCTTTAGGCGCATGTGTAATTGGCATTCGGTATCATCGTATTAGGAACAGACAGCTTGCGATTTCGAATCAAGAGTTGCACATAACCAATACTTCAGATTTCAATATGGCTGATAGATTCCCTTCTCTTGAGGACTTTGACTCTGGTGGTAAGTTCACTTTTGAGAGATTAAATGACAAGTAATGTGTACGCTTTATTAACAACACGATTTACAGCGCAAACGACTCAAGGCGACTCTACTTTCGAAGGAGGTGCCGATGATTTCCTGAGTCGTGAGAAGGCCCTTTTGGGTGACGATGCGGATCAATTTGCTACTGGCAATGACAATGCCGCATTTGTAGAGGATGGCGATGATGATTTATTGGGTGGAGGTGGAGGAGAGGATGTTCATGAATTTGAGAGTTCTTTCCCTGCCATTGATACTCGCAATGAGGTATATCATCTTCCCATCACTAGTTTCGTTTTCAAGGGAAGCTAATACTCACAAAATTAGAATGTTTCACCAAGCGGACAAATCACCAGCACATACACCAATTACCAGCCCCAAGTTTCCGACGAAGAAGAGCCAGAGGTCATCAAGCAATGGCGCGAACGTCGAGATCTCCAACTTCAAGCGCGTGAGGAGAGATCCGAAGAAAAGAAGCAAGAAACTATCAAGACTGCCCAACAAAACATTGATGATTTCTACGAGAATTACAACACCAAAAAAGAGAAGACCATTGCGCAGACTCGTCGTGAAGCTGAGGAGTTTTTAGCAAGCCGAGAAGATACATCTGCTGGTGGAACTAGCTGGGAGCGTATCGCGAAATTGGTTGATTTGAGTGGAAAGGGTGCTAGAGGTGGTGCAAATGGCACTGGAAAGGAGAAGTTCAGAGAACTGTTGATGAGCTTAAAGAAGGATGAGAAGGCGCCTGGTGCTACTGGATATTAGAGGGTGTTGGTTGGGTGGATTGGGTGATCTCTCTATGGATTTGTAAGATCGTACAAGATGGTTGTTTATTTCGTTCAAGAATTGCCTAATCGGATCTTCTGGGCAAAGGGGCGTTAAAAATGAATGGCACAGACACGCATACCTATTAAAGATTTGTTTATAATACCTAACATTGCTCCTAAATGCTGGACTTTGAAATGTGATTACTATTTACTTATTGAGAAAGTTATAATACCATTGCTGGTTTCAAGCTATTCTTTTAAATTGCACGGCGTGTTTCTTTTTCGCATCATTTCGTTAATTCCTTCGCCATCTACCCCTTCCCATGATCCACAGACACTTATTCCGGATCACCGTAATTCTCATCCAACGCTCTTTGTCTTTCTTGTTCCTCAAATTCCTTCAATGCAGCTTGTCCTTCCTCGGTTGTGGCATCAATAATTTGTTCCTCGAGTTGCAGCATACCGCCCTAGATATGTGTTAGCAGGTCAAATGAACACAGACACTACGATATGAACTTACCTCGCTGAGCTGGCCTACAACTTCTTCTGCTTGTTCGACGCTCATTTTGCCTAACACCTTATTGACTTCATCCAAGCTACCACTTTCCAAAGCTCGTTGCAGTCCAGGTGGAAATGCATCGAACAATTCTCTCGATTTAATCACCTCCGGATCCTCGCTCGTTGCAGGTGGAACAGTAATGTTGATAGTGGTACCAGGATCAACAGCATGAAGTTGAATTTGCTCAACTCCACCTTCGGTGCCCTCTTCAGCTGCTCTCTGCTTCTGGATTTCCCTAGCTCTAGTACGAACTCTGTCAAACGTTGAGTTGACATCATCGAAGAAGACCTTTTGGGCTTGGTGACCCTTAGTAGTGATACGCTTAAAGAACAAACCAACACCATCCTTTCCTAGGGCTCTGCAGTATTGAAGCAATAGAGCTTGGTGAACACATTGCCTAGCATAGTCATCCTTGTTTGCGATTGCAGAGTTAAATGCCAAAACGAGTAAGCCATCGGTCTCTCTTTCTGCAAGCACTGACGGATTTGAGGAGATGTACTGAAGACATGTACGATAGTCACCCATCTTAATTTCTGCAAATTTCTTTCCAAGCTCGCTAGCTTCTACATCATCATCATCTTCTTCTTCGTCTTCATCAACATCTGCATCGGCTCCCGAGGATTGCTCGCCGGGCTTCGAGCCATCCTTATTGGCGAGGGCATGAGGATTCAGGACTTCTACAGCTTGGACCTTCTCTTTGGGCTTCTTCGATTCTGTGGCCGTTGGTTTTGGGTCTGCCTTTGCTACAAAGGAGCTGTCAAATCCAGTATGTATACTCTCACTAGTAATCTTCTTGCTCTCCTCTTTCTCCAAAGTCTCCAGTTCGACCGCAAGTTGTTTTTGAAGGTCCTCAACCCTCTCTTGATGTACTTTGATTTCGGCGAGATACGCCTCGAATCGATTTTCTGGTTTGTCCTCATCGACCTTTGTTTTAACTTGGTCAATAAGCGCCGCCATCATCTTAGAGTATGTTGGTGGTGCCTCTTTGACATGAGTATGTACCCCTTCTGGAGGTGGAGGTGGAGAGTCATCTTCGCCAGTTGATTCCATCAATGCTTGAAATGCAAGATCATCCGGACGTTTGTCAGTCTGAGGACTGTAAGATTTTAAAGCAACCAGAAGGGCGTTTATCCTCTTGAGAAGTCCATCGTTGACGATTCGCTCATACTTGTAGGTATCTATTTTATTCTTTCTCTCATATCTCTGCTGATGAATTTGATTTTGCTTTGCTCGGATGAAAGAGCGCTTATCAACATTGGGGTGAACTTCAACATCTGAGTCGTCGCTCAACTCGAGTGCATCCTGATATTTTGTCAGCCTTGAATCTTCAGCCTTTCGAAGTGGGGGATGGACGACGATGAGGGGTATGTGTTCCAATATTGTATATGGAATGACCTTACCCATTTGCTATAGTTTATCGGCATGTTGGCGATAGTTCAGAAAGTATTCGTGATTGTAACTCTTCAATATTCTTGGAGTTGTGTTGTTGAATATTTATGAAGCTGTTTTCAGATTTCCTTTCTATCTTTATCGTATAACTCTTTGAATCGAATGTTCTACAACAATTATCCTTTGCGCCCAAACATTCCAGCCGAGCTCAAGCCAACAGCGTCCAAATCTAGCCCCACGTTTAGCTTTCATAAGCCGTGAATAAATGTTGTGATTGGTTGCATAATTGCATAAATAAGGTGATTGGAAGGAAGCGATGACGGAAACTAAATCTACCAGGTAGTAATAAATCTAAATATGCTCCTAGTAAATAATGTTATTAGGTTACCCGTTTAGAAGGAAAACTCTCAACCTTCGATTATTTTCAACTCGTTTGAAACATCCATAATCTTTATACTCCCACGCAATAATGACAGTTCGGCGATTATATCTTTCACAGCTTCATCGGTGAATTCAGCGGATGTAGTACACAATCCGTGCATCAAAACTTAACAATGCGGCGCACCTTGACAGTAGGCAATGGTTGGGGAGGGGCCTCGATCTGCGATATAGCTTTCAAGCAAGTTTCAAAACCCATTCCAGCTCCCGCAGCTTCAAGATGGACTCCCTCCGGACCTTCTCTGGTCGCAAAACGATTTTCATCCGGCTTCAAAAATTCGCCATCGCCATTGAGCCCCGCGTCTAAGCCAGCCCCACAACTATCTACAAGTCGTCTTCTCCAACAAACAAGAATTGGGTTAGCATCTCCATGGCGGCCGGCAATATCTCAATTACGACCTTTCAACAGTGCATCGCCTTTGCAAGATTCTCCAAAGGGCTCAGATAGACAGGATCATATCACACGAGAACGACAAAGGCGCGAGGAAGAGGAGGAAGATAACATTGATGAACAAGGAGATTTCGCACGAAGTGAGAAAGCCTCTAAAGCGACACAGGTCAATTTGAGCGCAAGGTTACAAAGTAGTGGGAAGAAACAAGGAAATACAGCTGCTTTCGGTGAAATATGGAGATTGCTCAAAATTGCTCGACCGGAGGCGAAATGGCTCGGTCTGGCTTTTGTATTCCTGCTGATATCCTCATCAATCACCATGTCAATACCGTTCTCCATTGGAAAAATTCTCGACTTGGCTACTAAAGATCCTTCGGAAGGCGAAAAACTTTTTGGGCTAGACATTTCTCAATTCTTCATTGCTCTCGCCTGCGTTCTGACTATGGGCGCTGCTGCTAACTATGGACGTATCATTATATTGAGAATTGTTGGAGAAAGAATTGTAGCCAGACTTCGATCACAATTATACAGGAGAACTTATGTACAAAATGCGGAATTCTTTGATGCCAACCGAGTTGGAGATCTTATTTCTCGATTGAGCTCAGATACGGTTATTGTTGGAAAGAGTATTACTCAGAATCTCTCGGATGGTTTACGAGCCATTGTCAGCGGAGGTGCCGGATTCACAGCTATGGCATGGGTGAGCTTAAAGCTTACAAGCATCCTGTGTCTCATGTTCCCACCTGTTGCAATCGGTGCATTCTTTTATGGTCGAGCGATCAGGAATCTTAGTCGAAAAATTCAAAGGAATCTGGGAACTCTGACCAAAATCGCCGAAGAGAGACTCGGAAATGTTCGCACGAGTCAAGCCTTCGCTGGTGAGACACAAGAAGTTGGCAGATACAATCAACAAATCAAGAAGATATTCTCATTGGGAAAGCGAGAAGCATTGATCAGTGCAACATTCTTCAGTTCAAGCGGATTTTTCGGTAACATGACTATCTTGGCATTACTATACACTGGTGGCTCTATGGTTAAGAACGGTATGATAAGTATCGGTGAATTAACATCCTTTTTAATGTATACAGCTTATGCTGGGTCAAGTCTGTTTGGTGTCTCCAGCTTCTATTCGGAACTCATGAAGGGAGTTGGTGCTGCCAGTCGTCTTTTCGAGCTTCAAGATCGAAAGCCTACAATTCCTGCAACTGTTGGTACTAAGGTTAAGTCTGCACAAGGCGTCATCAAATTCAACAACGTCTCTTTCGCCTACCCAACTCGACCAGCAGTCACGATTTTCGACGGTCTCGACTTTGAAATTCCTTCAGGTACTAATGTGGCAATTGTTGGACCCAGTGGCGGAGGAAAATCTACTATCGGTTCACTTTTGTTACGATTTTACAACCCTACAGAGGGAACGATTACAATCAACGGCCAAGACATAACCAAAATGAATGGAAAGTCTCTTCGCCGTCGTATTGGAATGGTTGGTCAAGAGCCTGTTCTTATGTCTGGCTCAGTTGCCGAAAATATTGCCTATGGAAAACCTCATGCCTCAAGGTCTGAGATCATCGCAGCTGCACGAAAAGCAAATTGTCAATTCATTGGCGACTTCCCTGAAGGTCTGGATACACAGGTTGGAGCACGCGGTGCCCAATTATCCGGAGGACAAAAACAGAGAATTGCAATTGCTAGAGCTTTGCTCAAGAATCCTGATATCCTTATACTAGACGAAGCAACGTCGGCTTTAGATGCCGAATCCGAAACTCTGGTTAACTCTGCCCTTGCGGCGTTACTTAGAGGACATAATACAACAATTTCAATTGCCCATCGTCTTTCAACTATCAAGCGTTCCGATCACATTATTGTTTTGGGCAATGATGGAAAGGTTGCTGAAACTGGAACCTACAATACTTTATCTAACAACCCCAACTCGGCCTTTTCGAAATTGATGGAATGGCAAATGAGTGGAGGTGATGCAGCTGACCACAGACCCGTTGAATTAGAAGGTCACTTCACAGAGTCCGAGGAAATCTCGGACGACTTGTCGCGTTTGAGTGAGTCCGATGCTATTGAGGGGGAAGCTATTGAGGAAGGAACAAAGGAGCGAAAGGAAAACAAAACCAAGACAGAAGCTGTTTTGGAAAAGACAAATAACAGAGCGAAGTAGATCAAGAGAGAGTTAGCAAACGAATTAGGAGGAAATGTATGGATATTAGCCTTC